GCAACGTCTGTCCGTCGCGCCGTAAGCATCCATCATTGAGCTAACGAACCGACGAGTGTTTGGCTGTAATAATCTACATGCTGAAAAAAACATATTTAATCATTTCACAAAAACACACATACTCACAAAAGAAGAAGGAAGTACCAAATCGTTAATAAGTACTTGCATTCAGCAAATGGCTCAGTATGTTGCCAGATCACTTTTTATTTCGATATGTAGCGTATTTTTTTTATCTCCCATCTGACTCCCTTCATCATTTATCGCCTTGGATCGAGATTTTAAAGAAAGAACATATGAATCGTTGCGGAGAAAAAGTAGCTCTTATTTTTCTCCAAATAATACTGCAACATGAAGTTTTTTTCACACGGTTAACAAATAAACTATTCATAAAAAACTTTATGTTGCAGTATTATTTGGAGAAAAATAAGAGCTATTTTTTCTCCACAACGATTCATATGAAGACTTCCACAACCGACCACGGTATTCTTCTCAACCACTTCATCAATTATTCGGTGTACAAACGATTTTCTTCAACAATTAATTATAGGGTTTTCCGTATTGGCTTCTGTGTCGGCAAAGTAGCAATCATGTTTTATTTTTCTCTTCATATTTTCTTGCATTTTATTACATTCGACTGCTCTATTTCTTTAATCCGAGCGTGCACAGCACAAAGTGCATTCAAACTGAATCGCACTGAATGCTTTGAAAAACACATATTAAACGAAGGAAATTCGAAATAAAACAAGAGTAAACGCCATCGTATTTTTTATATTTGGAATGTCATTATACGTGTATAATACAAGAAACCGTGTTTTGCTATTGAACTTCAAAGTATCTAATCGAATTGTATATTCATTCAATCGTATTGCGTTGTTCGGTGCTCACTGATTGGCTCTTGCGGCAATCCAACTAAAAAAACCTAACATATATTCAACAAGAGATTTGAGTTGAATGCCAAACACTTTTGATCGCAAACAAAACTGTAATTAAACAGCTTTAGAATGGACACTTCAATGCACCTATTCAAACTGTATATTGAATAAGAACCAATGTGAGAAGGGAAAAAAAACCATCAACATTTGTTACATAGCACCATTCTGATGCTTTTTTTGCACCTCATATCGCCGCCAGTTGCATTGGGCGTGCTAAATGTCTGTAAAATGATTTATACTTGGAATTAAAATGACAACAATAAAAGCACAAAAAAACCAACAACAACATTGAATCTCAATGAAAATCGGAACAGATCACTGCAAATACCAATGATAATAAAAAGAAACGGTCGTTTTTATTTGTAAAGAAGTCACCAAGTTATGGCTTAATCGATACAATATGTTCGTTCTCTCTAACTTGAAAAAAAAATCTCGGTTGCCTCAGCAGTAAACAAGTAATTTATCAATTTGTCACAATGCGCTCGCTTTTGGTTGTTCGATCGATCGGCCAAACGAAATAGAACATTTTCATTTATGGCTAAAACAAAATAATGCAAGAACTTTGCACAGGAATGTTTCTATTTTTCATTTGAAAAAAAAAAATGGTACAGTAACTACAGAATATGACCCGAAGGCATTGGTATAGAAGTGTGTGAGTGACACGTTCACTAAACAGTTTCTTAACCGTAAGCAATTTACCATATAATATTTATAAAAGACTTCTCACTTTTATAACAATTTCCTCTTGTCTCTATCAGTTCTCGTGAAGTGGCCAATGCACGATTTAATGCACCACACTGTGCATGCTGTCTATGCTTTCTTGCTTATTCGTCTTTCATCTCTGTGTTATTGTGATAAATAAATTCATAATATCGCATCGTATATACAAACGTAAAACGATGCGAAAATTGTGAATAAAACAATTGGCAAAAATATGATATAGAATATTTTTGAATGTGGAAGAGAGCGCGACAGCGTCATTGCAGACAGGCGTGCATTTTATGGATTGTGCATCGCCAACAGCGATTGCAACAAATTCGTTATTATATCCATGCCATGTATATATATCATGTACAACAAAATTAATAGTGCGTAACTATGAAACTACATGTATGCGTTTCGATGCACCAGCCAATTCATTACGCAATCGCAAAATTGTTGTGTCTTGTCATAAAATATATGCGACAATAACAGCGACAACAAGAACAACAACAAAATCGCAGCGAGAACCGATAAGACTGCATATTTGCTGTAAATACGCAAATGCCGCTAATAAAAAAATCGGTTTCCACATGACTTGAAACCAACGAATCGTGTCTTACGCTCGCGCGCACCCAATAAAGAAATTACTTCTAATGAATAAGGAAGTGATTGCCGGCTAATCGATTGAAAGTTGAACATCGAAATAGGCATATAAAAATGAATCAAGCTTTTAAATTGCTGATCGAAAAATTATTGCACGAAAATAGAGTTATCTTTAAAGCAAAGGGATCGATTTTGATCGGCAAACATTTTCAATGTGAATGATAATGATCAAGACTTAAATTTGTGCATTTCTCAAACGTCATTGAATAAAATTTCGTAATTGTTGACCGAAACAATAACATCCAGAGACTAGTAGTAATGCAATGGATGGTGCATGCTTTTTTCTGTCACGCTTTTCATGCGAACATTTCTGTTAATTATAATGCACCTAATGATCACGTTCAACCCAGTTAACGAATCAGATTCTCATTCCATCTCATTCTCTTTTCTCTTTGACGAAGCCATCAAGCAAACCAATTTACCGTTCTATACGCACCGCACACAATCATATTTCCATCTTCGTTTTCTTTTCTTTAACATTTTCGAAATCAAAAAAAAAAAAAATGCCGGTTCGTTATAATTATCATGGTTATGTTTATTGTTTCTCTTTCTCGTTGTGCACAAAATGGAATTCCATTCTCATAGAGCGCAGTTAGTTATATGCATTTCTCATGTGTCTTTTATGACATTTAGTTTATGCACTTTGGTGTGCATTATGAATGCGTGTATTTTTTTTGGGGGAAGGGGAAGAACGGTTGTTTAGAACAACATATTTTTTTGCTCATGACAGTGCGTGTGAATTGTGTGTGATACTTTTGTTGTTTTTCTGTCGAGAAGGCAAAAAAAAACTATCAATTATGCCGCAAAGTATCCATTTCTTATCAGTATTTTAGTGCAAACAAAATAATAGTGGTTGTGTGAACCACTTAAAATGAGAAATGTAATGTGCAACATGTGCGTTTTTCAACCAGGCGCCTTCAGCCAATTTCCAATGTCTCGTGTGCACCATTTGTTTTTTCAATTCCATCAGACCGTGAACAATTTGATAAATTGAGAAAAAAACTTATATGGATACAGGATTTTATATTCGAACGTGTATAATCAACAACTTGAATTGTATATTTTAACCAAATAGTTTCAAACTTAGTTTTACCAAGCTATCAGCAATATAACAATTTCGAGTTCAAGTATAATTTTTTAATCACTGTTACAAATTACAATGTATGCAATGCAAACTAACAGCTATTTGCCTTCAATGTTGACTTTTTGGTCGTTTGCTTTGTGGCTAAATAAGTTTAGTTTATTTACACTATTTTTATACGTCAAATTGTTTCTTGTTTTTCTCACCCCGTGCACACTCTAATGACTCGATATTCGCACATTTACCTGACTTGTACCACGATATCGATGGCAAATCACAAACAAAATTGTATTTTTATTATTGTAAATTAAGATAGAACGTGGGTCGCATATTTTAAACATGGTGTTAATGGTAGCCAACGACCATTTGCCATCGTATTCGAAACGGAAATTCCATTCACATAAAATATAAACTCTTTTAAGCATATTGGAAATGATGGAATCGCCAAAAGTGTGTCATGCATTTCGAATTAATTAATCTTCTAAAGTATTTTGATATGGTTACGTCAATGATGCATTTCCGATCTTCAATCTTCATCACATCCAATCATATTTTATCTCTTGGGGTTAATTCACAATTTTATTGTATTTGAACAAAGCAAATAGATCATTTATTTATTGGATTTCAATTCAAAAGTTCAAATATTGCATTGTATTTCTGATTGGTTCGAATCGAATAGCAAACAATTTCAAACTGAGCTTCTTTCATGTGAAAAAAGAACATTCTAGGTCGAAAATTATTTACCTTTTAGCGAAAAAAATCAATTGTTTGCCTTCATTCCACAATAGAAACGAAAAATTGTTTGACGAGATATGTTTTCAAAAATGTTCAGGCGGTGCGATCTCGAGATTTGTTGATTTTATTTTCGGTGGGAATATGTTCATTAATGATAGCTTGTCTTGCGTAATAATATAAGTTATCTCAGATTTAAAAAAAATATCACTGGAATTTTAGCATTCTATTGTTGTTTTTAACAAAAAAAGCGTTGAAATGAACTTAACAACATCAACAGCAAGTAGCTACAGTCGAAAATAAAATGTATTCATTTGCAAAAATAACGGTGGTGTGTATGTAATTTAAAATGAAGCGAATCTCATCTCTCTCTTTTTTTTGCCATTTTTCAGTTGCACAAAATTATGCATAAATGAAATGAAAATCAACATAAACAACAACACACACGACGGTGCGTTGGTTGTCGAGGGTCTTTCCCTCAATATTGTGTGAAAGATATGAATGAAAGAATGTTTTTCTATGGAAAATTATTATTTTTTTGCTTTACAAAAGTGAAGAAAAACGCAAAAATTGTTGGAATGGAAAAAGTATTACATTGAATGAAGTGAACACATAGTGTTTCTGTTGCCAGTTTTTTTGTGTATTTCTCGTCATTGATTGCCGGAGCCGTATAGAAATAAGATACAATTATAGACAAAGATGAACGTAAATCATTTTAATAAGATGATTTTATATTTGTGCACATTCGAAAGTCGTAAATCAGCGCGATTTTCAAGCGATTACATTTTAAGGTCACATCTAAAAGTTCAATCGAGACAAAATCCGTTTCTAATAAATGGATTATCATCACATTTATTTTAACTAAAAAATTTATTTCTTTTTCGTTTCAGAATCGAATTGCAGCAGCCCTGAATCAATAGACAAATAAACGCACGAATTTGAATAATCATAAATAATTGCCTGGCCAAGGCGGAGGCGGAACAAAATCTTGCAAAATAAGATCAAAAAACATTGATCGAAAATATCAAATTCCTCAGACAGATTTGCTGGACAGAGAAAAGTCAGACAAAACCGAGAAAATTGAAATACGAAACAAATATGAGGATATCAATATCGATAGCCGTACTTATCGTTCAATGTTGTATTGTAGCGATACAAGCAACAACAAAAAGTGTTGCACTGTATAGTAATCAAGTTCGCCAATTGGTTACATCAAATACATTGGTATGGCAAAGTTTTACCGGCGATCAAAAACTATTGGAATTTGCTGTTGAAGCAGCCAAATATCATTCAGAACAAGAAAATTATCCGATTTATGTCTGCCGGGCAACCGTTGATGGTATTACAGTTACCGGTCATACGCAGAAACGTGATTCACGTACCATTTGTATTGTATCGATGCACACAACACGTACACATCTTGTATTTGATGTGCTGCTAAACAAAGGTGACGGCGGTAAATTAACCTGGAAACCTTGGAACAAATTCATTCCAGTCATTCCAACTGGAGCGGTTAGCGCCACTAGTGACGGACATGTACGTATACTTAATTTTTAAGTTTTTCGCATTCTATTTGATCTTTCGAAATTTAATTGTAATTATAGAGCGTTTTTTTTTATCTCAATAACGAATTTACAATTGCTATGAATTGATTACACACATTTGAGATTATTAACTATTCATAAACAATCATTGCAATAGGTGGAAGATAACTATGTGGCACGAAGAAAGGCGAATGCAGACGAGGGAATTGAACAGCATCATCATCATCATCACGGCGGAATTGATTACAATGTCGGACACTTTTCGCCTAACATCAAAATTGGACGAATCGTTGTTTCTGTGAACAATGTAGAAAAGGTATAGATTTTTTCTTCCACTTTGGAACATAATTAAATTTCATCATTTTGTACATTTTAATGAGACATATGTTTAAAATTTGTGTAGAAATGTCGAGGATTTCTTTATCTGAGAATCACTTCAATTAATGATGTTGTATTTAACATTTTCGATTTCAAATTTCATCATTCTTTTTTTTCTATGATTGGAAAATATCTAATGATAACAATGGAATATCATTTTAGGAATACGAAGATGGTGAAATTTTAGTTGAAGCCGAACCAATTCGTTATGAGTTGCGTGACATTAAAAAGGACAAATGGCGCACACAAATCACACCAAATGAAACAGTCTTGGGAACTGCTGTACTCTCAAACAATGGCGAAGGCAGTAATATAGTTGAAACGGCAATCAGCTATAAATTTAACAAGACCGTTTATTGGGGAACAGTTGAAGGAGTTGGACGCGGTCTACCAACCGAAGTTTTGGAAAATGCCAAGACACCACCGGTTGAATTGGTCAAAGGCTGGGGTCTCAGAGATATTCAACCGACTACAGAGGTACGTTCAATTATAACCAACAAAATATACTCGGATGCCAATATCTGATGGAAATATTTCAATTACAATAATAATTAATATTTTGCTATTTCTGTTTATTTTTTGTTTTCTCTTTCTATCTATCAAAATCTATTACAACATTCTTTGGCACCCGCATGTTAACAACCAATGCATACAGATTAAGCAAGTGAGTGCTAGTTTGTTACCAGGGACGGCAATGAATGTTACATTAAAAGGAAGCTATACGAAAATGGAAGGGCCATACACGGCTAAATTGAAATCATACTATGCAGATAGCGATGAAACAAAAACCAGAGACATTGAATCAAGCGTAAGTAGAAATAATTTTACAGAAAACTTAAAATCTATATCTGTTTAAAAAAAACACACCAGCACAAAAACGATGAAATTTATACGTGTATGTCTGATTTGTTCACAATTCTAGACATTTTCTATCGCATTGAAATATTCATTATGATTTTATGAACGGCCACTGCAAAACTATTTTTTGTTCATGTGCTGTGTCCATACTATAATTCATTGCTCAATTCTTGTTATTGGTGTTTCTTTTTTTTTCGTTATGTGAGCACACTTTTCGGCCACATCCTGTTTATTAGGCGAATAAATCATAAATTCAACGTTTATTTTCATTTCCGTTCTGTAAAAACATTGTGAAAATGTGAAATTGGTTGGCATTTTTGTTGTCGTATAAAAGTTTTCCACATGCATGTGCACAAAAAGGGTAAATGGGATTAATTGAGTTATTGATATCTAAACTATAGACTGAATGATAGTTAAAGTTTGGGGTGGTCATAAAACGTCAACAGCTAAGGTCATCTTTCGATTCGATAAAACTTAATAATTGGCCGAAACAATAACAAAAACAAACTGTGCTCAAACATAAAAACGAGAGCACATTTTTTTCCGGTTAATTTATTTTTGCTCTAAATAAAATGCATAACACTCAAAGTGTTGGACCGTGTTTGTATTTAATTTTTCTTTCCATTATTTCACTACATTTGCATAGAATCGTTTAAATTGCAGTTATTCATTCAATCTTCATTTATTTACACTGATGTGCGGTATTGGTTTCCCTTTTTGGTGTAGAGGAACGTGTGTGTGTATGTGTGATGGCTTCAATTTATCCGTTGATTTATATATTTATACTGTATCATCAGTCTTTCTCTTGTTCTCATTTCGAAATAGTGTCTAAAATGGCACGAGACACACACAAACAAATAAAATGCATTAAATGCGCATGTTGCCTTACTGCTAAATTGGTTTATATTCGAAATGGGCGCGTGCATTTGCCAAAATGCATCAAACCAATGGAAATAGAAAGAGATAGAGAACGAAAAGAATATGCACTGCACAAAACCGATTCCGACAAAACAATGATTCAAGTAGCCTTATTTGGGTGAGCTACATACAAATTGCCACTGCAAACAACTTTTCGAACACGAAAAAAAAACAACAAATGAGGAAAAAACACACATGCACAATAACAATAACAATGCAATGCACAAAATGTATATATCGCATCCCGAATGGGAAATAAATTTCATAAATACACGCTACGAAATAAATGAAACGACATTTACTCTGTTTTGGTCGTCGTCGTCTTTGCCGTTGTCGGTTTGTTCGTTCGTCCCGTTTTGTTCTTGTTTTGAATGCATTTTTATCCGTTGATATTCTTGGCTGCCGTGCATAAAAACGACAGACTGAGGCGCGTACGATTGCTTGAGCCTAAGACATTGTTGACTGTCGCAATAAACAAGACGAATAAATGTGCACAAAATAGAATAAAAAAAAATTGTAATTAATAATAAATGATCAGACTCAGTAGCTTCAACAAGCGCACGCTTCAATCTGCAATCAAAAAACGATTGCTCATTCAATTTTATACATATGCATTGAGATCTTTGTTGTTTTCTAAGTCGGTCTCTTGCGCAGGCTAATAAATAAATAGCATCAACACAGTTGTATAAAAACGTATTTGAATCGATATCTGCGTGTGAGTACGCGAAAAATACACGCATTGCTTTAATAATCATCGAACACGATTCAAATGAATAAAGTTGAAAAAAAGAGTTATAATTGTATAGCAATTTCAAATAAAAAAAAGTCGCATTTTCATTTTTTTTTAAAGAGCACCACAGATAAACGAGAATTGTGGCAATTATGGTTTTAACCTGTCTTGCGTGCTTTGATTCTCACTTATTATAATTACGCTCTGAAAACTTAACTAAACCATAATAAACGCACAGTGAAAAACATGATATTTTGCAATGATCATTTTAATGGCACTTTCGATTTGAATAAGTTTTTATTTATTTGATGTCATGTTATTAGCCTCTTTTTCTGATTGAAAAAATTTCAATTTTCCATTCGCTGGAATTCTTTTACTTTTTCACTAAAACTAATTTTATTGCTTTATTTTCTACGAATCATATGCAGTTCCTGATTGAAGATATGTTTGATGTGACATTCGAATACGGTCCTATTTATTGGCAACATAATAATACATTTGTACCAACCACAACAACAACAACCACCACGACAACAACAACTACGACCACAACCACCGAAGCAAGTACGACCAATAAAAATAAAGATCCGGTAATTGTGAGCCGTGACGGTTTTATTGATAACAACGATATTCCGGGTGATGCACCAGATGCTGCAACAGAAGCCAAATATAAGCAGCAAAGCGAAACGAATAGTGCAAGTGTTGGCGGTGGTACGAGTTCAGCAAGTCGATTCAATAATTTGGCATCGTCTGTGATTTGTATGGGTTTAGTGGCGCTATTCTTTTCTATTCGACACACAAATATGGTGTTTAAGTAAGTAATATAAATTAATTTAGAATTAATAAATAAACAAACAATGAGTAAACATAATGTTGGAATTTTCAAGAGTATTTTGCCTTTTTTCCCACAAATTTGGCAAATATTTAGACAGTTTTTTTCTCTAGAAATTATGTATATGAGTGGTTGGGCTGGAGCTAGAGACAAACAAATAAACAAAAATAATTAGCAGAACCAACACATATAAAATCATTCGAAAACAAATAATCAAATCAAGTGCACCCGCAAAAAAAAATACCAAAATGTGTCAAATTGTCCCAGATTTAAATCAAATTAATGCTAGACGAATATTAGAAACGACCTATTTTTTTCTTATTGGCACTAGAGAGCACAAGCAACAACAGCTAAAACGAGTGTCATCATCAAAATTGGCCAAGCAACAATATTACTTTTTGAGTGTGACTTTTCCTCTGCCATAGTTCAAACATTTAAATGACAGATTTAAAATAACTTAAAAAAATGGCTTCATCAAATGGCATGTGTGTGTTTAAATTTAAAGCAAAGAAGAAAAAAATGAATCTCAGCCTTTAGTTATATGACATATAGGAAAACAATTTCTCAGCGGGCACTGACATGCGTCATTTGTGAATTAAATGGCAAAATTGAGAATGAAATATAAATGACACATGACAACAGTAGCGAGAAAAAAATGTCACTAGATTACAAGGTCATCATCATCGCCGGTAATTGTGTATAAGCACTTAATGGAAAATTGAAAACACAAGCAAATATAGTACAGTGAGTGTACGTGATAACAGCGTCAAGGCTGTCGCAAATGATGTTCGCGTTCTTTTTATTCCAGTGAAATCACTGGGGCATAAGATGATAATTATCTTCCTTTTGTTTTTGATTTTGTTGTTTCGTGAAAGTTGAATGGATTTAAAGTTTTCTTTAATCTTCCAAGCCTTTTGATGGAATTTGTTATTTAACTGAGACGATCCATCAAATTGAGACAAAGAGAGATGGAATATGTCACTCACCACATCTCATTGATGTCATTTTTCCACAGCAAATTGTGCTAGAATTCATTCTCAGGCGTGTACACGTTTCAATCATATAATTTTTTGTTTCTCTATGGTTTAAATAGTATCGAAATAAAAGACATATTTAAACATAAAAGAGAAGAAACAAACAGCAAGCGTTATTGTTATCGCTAAACGATATTCTATTGATGCTCTAACAAATAGCTGAGCGAGTGAAAAAGAAACGCACGCGTATGCACCACCCTTCATCAAAATTAAGTGATTGGCTAAATGCAATGCAATTGCTATTTGTTGCACGCCACACAATCTTATTGTTTGATTTAAAAGGCTCACAACAATCTCAAAGAAAATATTGAATGAAAATCATTTCGCATCCAAACAGTTTTTTTTAAATTCTCTGTGTGTAGGAGCGCGCATTATTTAATCTTGACTACCTCTCTCTCTCTCTGCGTGTTCAAATGTGAAGGTTATTTTGATTCATTGTCACTGCTGGATATTATACAATGAATTCTTTTGTCCGTTAAATATTTCAATTTCCATGCATCCATTGTGACAAGTACGCAATTCCATGCAAACATTATCATCATCAATTGCGTCATTTATATCAAATAGAATTAAACGGAATGATGTTACGTTTGAAATGAGAACACGTGTGCGCACGCGCGCTAAACAAATCAACACGCACGAAGTAAAGAGAAAGAAAGCGTGCGCTTATCACCCCAATAAATGATCAAGCCAACAGTTGGAGAGAGAGAGAGAGGGAGAACAAAAGCATTTAAAATCGATTCTAAAAAAAGCGCATATCATTTATTTAGAACAATGCAAATGGTGACAAATTTGAGCATTTTTTCTTCTTCTCTTTTTCATACGAAAAGTATTAGAATCGTTTAGAGCGCTTGAATACATCAAACAATATTATCACGTAATTCATGTAAACAAAAGCGCAAATTCACATTCGTTTTCGTTAATTATGTCAAAACATTTTAATATTTTTACATCTAAATAAATTTAAGTGCGCAAAACAGGGAGAGTGAAAAGAGCACATTTTTTTAAAGAAAAATTCACATATACTTGCACACACACATACAGACTTCAAATATTTGTAGTCAATAATAAAAACGGTAAAAATGCAAATAAAAAAAAAAATTACAAATGGAAAACGAACGATGGCCGATGATAAATTCGACAAAAAGAATGTTACTAAACAAAAAGCGCCGACAAAAAAAATTGACACAATCAATTGTATCTTGATCAGGACAATGACACAACGTATAAATAATAAGTAAACCACGACATTGAAAAACAAAATGCGAACGAAAAGGAAAAATGAAAAGAATTAAAGTGTAAATAGAATTTGCATTAGGTTTGTAATATATAAGTGTAATATGGGATTTAGAAGATAGATTTAAAAAAAGAAACAAAATACAAATAGCGCGAAATGAAACATTTTTTCTCTTCTACTTTAAACAGATTTTTTTTTTTTGGTTTTTGTTATCAACATTTATTTTAATTTATTAAATGCGAATATTGAGACAAAAACGAGAGAAGAACTAGAAGATAATAAGCAGAAATGAAATTGAACTGTTAACAATTGTGTGTATAATCCAGATTAATTAACTTATTGGACAAATTAAGAAACTAGATTTACAATTTGGAACACTTTTATTTTATTTCTCAAAACACATACACCAAGTCAAATGAGAAAAGCATTCAAAATGTTTTTTTTTAAGCTAATACAATAGAAATGTTGTGGAAAAAAAATTTGCGAGAAAAAAGACCACAGCAAAAACAACAATATTCAATGAGAAAAGAAACTCCCAACCAATATAATCAAACTGTTTAAGCCCCAAAACACATGCAGCTTTTGTTATATATGACAAATACTGATGACATTGTAACTTTATTTTTAATTTGTATGTAATAATTGTAGCTTTTTTTAATTTTTAAAATATACAATCATTATAAATATACTCTTTATTATTATTATTTTTTAGTATTTTAGTTCAATTTTAACTGGAAACCCCTTATCTTCGCCCTTATTTTGCCTGTCTTAGAACTTTTGCGATATAAATAGCTTTCGTTGCTCTCCCATTCTACATACTAAACACTGTACTAGCAAAAAACAAAGCCGATCTAAACTATCAGTGGGATGCGCTTGAAAGAGTGCAAATGTTCTTCTGGTATAGAAATTATTGTTATGCAAATTTTTTGTAAATTTTCTGAATGGGTTTTTGAAATCAAAAGTGTTATCAATCGAAAAATATTTCCAGGAATGTGTGTAATATATTTTATATCGATTTGCGCCTTTTTTTAAAAACATTCTGGACATTTTCGAGTTATAGCAAATTTCTATAGTTTTATTTTAAATTAGAAATTTTAAATTGTCTTTAGTTCAAACGAATTTAACAGCTGACAGTTTGGATCACATTGTTGACGCTAGTACAGTGAAACTTTGTGTATGCATTTCGCTTAAACATAGCAATTTATTATAGCTATTTGCCTTATTTTACTATATACTATATATACTCCTCAATGTCTCTTTATTTTGACGCTTTTGATATACTTATATATATATATCTGTGTTACGAACCAGCAACAAAACTGAATGTGCGTAATTAAATTCAAGCACAAAAAAATAGTCTATATTCCATTTCATCGTTATGCATTTAACTAATGGTGATTGATGCGATCTGAAGCTACGATACAGGTAAGTGTTATTGATTGTTTTATGACTCAAACCGCATGTACTCTTGTATAAAATCTATGCAAGTTTCAATTATACCAGTCTAGTCTATGCTTGTATTTTTAGTTGTTTGAATGTTCGTTGGCAAACGTTAATGTAGATATCGTTGCTTTCATTAATTTTTGCATAAGATGAAGTCGTTGTTTCATTGATTTTCAATCGAAATTCTTATGCAATTCCAATTTTTCGTCATTGCATGATGTATGTAAGTCAACTGAAAATTCTGTCAGACAAGATTAAAATGGTTTAGATGCATTATATTGAAGCTTGTTCACCATAGACTAATTATAAATGAAAGACGCACACAAATAAACCAAGTTGATCAAGAAAAAAAAGGATCCTCGATTAAAGTTTAATCATTAAACTCCAAATAGATTATGCAAAGAGTTCAATTGACTTTGGTGCATTAAAATAAATTGGCGAATGATTTCTCGGATGCACACACGCATAACACAAGCACCATTCAGTTACCTGCGTATATTCATGCCGTTCGGTCAAACGACGAACAGCATAGTTTGATGTGAATTGCAAACATAATCTGATATTTCCGACCAATTATAGTTGATGTACATTGTATTACATATATTCTGGAATTATTTTTTCTTCTTCTGCTGTTTATGTGCTCTCGGTTATATTTTGTGATGAGAGAGATAGAGAGATGCTTTTGTTTTCAGCCACGCACATTTAATGTGTTTAAGGAATTCATTTGATGGTCTTTATTTGGAGTCGGATTTATGGTACCGAGAGATGAATTCAGTATTAAGAAAAGTATAGATGTAAAACAACACAAAAAACAACTTGAAATTGATATGTGCAATGTGTGCGCTCCACTAACTCCTCGGTGTCGTTAATTCATTTTAATTGAAACGAATTGACATTACTTATGGCCAATCTTTAAAAAAAACGATGAATGCGCGCACGACACAAAAATACAGTACAGACAATATAATTGCATATAGCAGCAAGTAACATATCGCATTTCTTCAGCAGCATGCCTTCAGCATATTATTTCTTTTATTCAGATGCAGTTGCGTTCTTTTTTTTCATCATTTGATGAAATTGAATACATAATTATGAAATGCACATCCATTGACGCGACGGCCGATTTCAGTGATGCCAAACAACGGAACATAATTGTTTGTGAAGGTGATGTGTGTGCCCGCGTGATCAGAGAGACATTCATTGTTACCAGACATGATTCATTTTTTTCTTCTTCAACATGATCAACGTCGATAAAAAAAAACATTATGCCCGTTTCAAGCCAGATTAGCATGGAATGGAAAAGATAACTTGTAAAACAATATTATTATTTTAAATTGCCCCGCAACACTAGCAATCATTTACAAACTTTTCGCACAAAAGATTTTTTTTGTTTGTTGCATTTTGAGCTCGTGCCACACAATTTAATGCATTTGCAAATGCGGTGGTTTTTTTCGAAGTTTTTTTTTGTACAGAATGACTTTGGCCAAAACGTATTGATGCACACATAATTTCTCAATGTCTTTGCAATATAAAAAAAATACGATTTATTGTCATTCAAAATCACAATTAGTTACAATATTTATTAATGTAATAATTGTCTTGTACACTAATTCCAGTTATATGTGAGAAATAATTAGGTTAAATTTTTTGGAATGGCGAAAAAAAGATGCATGCTTTGATACTGTATAAATAGCTTGATTATGCAAAAAAAAGAAACTGAAAAAATGGAAAAAAAATCGAAAAAAGAAAAATGAATGAGATATGTTTTTTTGTAAGCGCAATATTTGCATGAAAGAAAAATCGGGAAGTATGTGCAAATCTGAATTGAAAATAGAAGGGAAAACGAAGAGCAAAAAATCGAAAAACCAATGGTTTGTGGAAATGGTGGTGCCAATAGTAATAGTTTGAACGGCAAAGAAGCAGTTTTTTTTTTCGAAATGGCAAGGAAATGGAATTGATGGGGTCTTATACAACTGAATAGAAAAGAAAACAACAACCAAATCATAGTAGAGTAGATGATAGAGAAGTGATCAAGTGAGAGATCTATTTTTGTATTTGTTAGATTTTAATGTAGTGAAAACCCATAAAAAATAATTAAAAGAAAACAAAAAAGAAGCCTTCACGAACTTTATTCACCCCAATTATTGAATCGATGCGAAACTGAGCTTCGCCCCAAATAACTGTGGAAACTATAACCTACTGTCCGAAATGTCCTATTTAAATTTAATGACAAAAAAAAAACACCTCACCATTGACCAAATCCCTCCTCTCAATCAACACATACCTTCAAAGGGCTCATTTGCGAAACATACGCGAAATTCATACCAAATAATGACATAGATAAAATTGAAAAATAATCAAATCTTAATTCACAAATAAATATCAAAAGGTTCCGTTCAAAATGCTAGATAACTCTTGTTCAAAAGTAAAACAAACAAAAATGAAGTTATTGTGCTATATTTTCTGAAATCACCTTTCGGTAAAATATATACCTCAAGCAATCCATAACAACAAAACATTTATTTACACCAAAATAAATATTTAGATATATTGTAGCTGAAAACAGTGGGTGATTTATTAATGTGGGTGATGCGAGAAATGACAATATATCGAAATGAGTGAATAACACTCGGTATCTCGGGAAAATTGATGGATTTCAAAGAGCAACACAATAAATTGATTTAGAATTAATAGTATATAGATGAAAGTGGATAAACGATTTGTATGCAAAGCCCACAGATGATGAGCCATATAATATATATTCAAAAACAAAGGAAAAACTAGATACACATACAATATCTATATAATAACTGATAAAAAAAAGATCCCCTCCTCACCACACAAAAGGTATTTGACTCAAAGTTTTCGAAGCTTATTCATTTTACTTGGCATATTTAAACTAATCATTACATCAATTTTGATCAAATTAGAGAAGAATAAAACAACACACACACACACATATACACCTAAATTCATGTCAAAATTCGTCACATTCGAAATTACTCTGGATATCTAATTGATATAGGACACAAAAGTAATTTTAAAAAAACCAAAACAAAAATAATGGCGTTTCTTTTTTTTTGCTTCAGTGTGTACCGTACTTATGACCATTCACCAATCAAGACAAAGAAAAAAACAAAAAAAAATTATTATAAATGCATTTGGTTCATTGTAGCACAAACAAACCACAAAAACCGATTTGAATATAACAAAGAAAACACATACACCTCATGTGTAAAGTAAATTTGCTTCTAAACGATCTCAACAAATAAATTTTATTCTTTATTCATTTAAACAACAAAAAACAACCCATCTTGCATTTTTATTTCTTTATTTTTTGTTCAGTATCGACGACGACGACGACGTAGATTGAAATAATTTTATTTGCGCTTGAATATGAAAACTAAACTATGTGTCGTATTTTTTCGTGTACTGGCGCATCGACATTAGCCATTTTAAATGATGCCCATCATTAGGAGCGATGCAGTGCGGAATTGTATAATTACAAGAAATGGCACGATTTTTGCGACATTGAATAACAACAACAACACGGACGGAATTATAGGCAGAGACCGTTGTTTTCTATAAATTGAATATGGCGCGCAAAATTGCTCGCGTTGACGGTGTTTGTTCGTAATTTCTTTCTTCTTCGTCTTTTGTGCTGCATATTTTAAATCTCAATCAAGTCGTTGTGGTGGAACTTTTGCATTACATTTTAATGCGCCCATAACCAATTTAGAGATCTAGCTGCTCTTTATTATCGCCAATTCAGCTCGTTGCCATTTAATTGCCCCATTATGTTTTAACCACAGATCGTTGAGTTGTTATTTTGCGCGCGGACTACTATTTACGGCAATAAGCCAAACCATCTGTAATGATAATGATAGTAATGCAGAGAAAATCAAGCGATAAACAAATATAACCTTGAAAATAGATCCAATCATTCATTTCGTAAAGGGAAAGAGATGCGACTATGTGGACCGTCATCGCGTCGATCGAACGAGATTAACCCAAGGATGGATGAACGAATGCATTATGCAATAAAAGATGAATGGGAAATGACATCAATGGGTTGGATGAGTTTTATTTTTAGATTGAAATTGATGTGTCAATTATTATGTGCACACATAATACAACGAAATTTTTCAACGAAAGTGGCTCAGTGCAATTTCAGCCAGATCACTCACTTATTCAAGTAATCAAAAATGTACATTTCAACGGTACATTTGCGTGGGCTTCACCTAATAGGTAAGTTTCTCCTTGTTGTGGTTCTTTTTTCTTCGTTTTTTTAGATGATGATTTGTCGACATGAAGTTGAAGATTTTGAAATGAATTACCCCATTGAATTTTGCGGTTCACTATTTGAACCAATTTTCGGATGAAATGCAAAAATATGTGTACAATATTTGCGTTGCAAATTTTATTCATGCATTTCTGTTTTGCAGTGCAAATTTTTTCGACCGTTTCAATGCATAAGTGGGTTACAAATCGAAATCGTCGATTTTAAGATGATCCAAATGGAAACGATTCAACGGAGGTAAATGATACATAAATAATTAAGGAAATGGATAATAAAATAAATTTTACAAATAAAATCTCGAGTGTGCGGTTAACGTTTGAATGCAGTCGTTATCATGATTAGTAAGTACTACGGCAGCATCGGCAGAATGTACTTTGAATGCGAATCATTTTCCAGAGCTTACTTTCTCTCTGTCGAATTGTCGGTTTTCGAGCTTAGAATTCAAGAAAAATCGTGATAAATTGATTGAACGGAATGAAAAAGAAATTGAACAAAAAAAAAAGAAGCATTTTTATGAGATCGCCGTTAATGATAGTTAATTAGCCATGGAATTAGCATAGCCACACTGACTATCTCGATTAATAGTACACAATGCTTTCTTGTGACCCATCCATAGACCACCTACCATTTTCAATTCAAATGCAGCCAAAATGCATCACGTTCTAGTGTCTAATAAACGACTATGGTGGGCGTAGCAAACTGAATTGATCTATATAAAACATAGCTTTAGACAATGGCAACTTCCATCATTACAATTTCGATTCAATGTGATGAACAGAACATTGATATCAATATGAAAACAAATCAGATAGTATACTTAATCACGGTGGTAAATTTACTTTTGCTATTGACGCAAATAACACACGGTTCACTTTGTAATTGTATTCAAATGATAATTTCACTACATTTGATAGCTTTAATCACAATATTATCTCAACTTTATTGAAAAAAAAAGTTAAAACACTTCAATGTTATCGAAAATGTGTACAGCGGCAACGGAAATCTGAACAATATCAATGAATTTCTAAGTTTGATCTACTGTAAATACATTGTCAGAGGATGATAAGTCTATTGCACAATCGCCTCTATCTTTGGCTATTGTCTATGGTTGTATACGATTATTGACTTTTGCGTCTTATAAATAGCGTCGTATGTATTATTGAGTAATTGATTTCTGAGATAAAAATTACACGCTTATGCAGTATGGCATTTTGATCAAATTGTTGCTTGACACATTTGAGAGATAAAAGGCTAAGCGAACGGTTTCAAAATGTTTTTGGTCATTTTTAGTAGTTTAATAGCATCGCTGATTTTTTTGTATTATTATTTAACATGGAACTTTGACTATTGGCGAAAACGCGATGTACTGGGACCCAATCCAAAACCATTTTTGGGAACTTTTCCAAAATCGGCAATTTATTTACAAAATTTTCTTTACGAACAGGATGATATTTATCGGTAAGTGTTGAAAATTCAGGTTATTTCGAACTATTCTCATTTATCAGTAGTGAAAATAGTAACAATTGCATCAAATCTCAACTATCAAACTGCATCAAATGCATAAACGGAAGCTCTGATGTGTACCGAACGCATCATTTTTTTAAATCAATTTTTACACATGATACAATAAAATAAAATTTGACTTCAATAAAAATTCATATTTATTTCCAAGAAAATACCGTGGCAAAACTCCATTCGTTGGTGTATTCACATATCGCTTGCCTGAACTTTTGATACTTGATAATACTTTGGTTTCACAAATTCTTGTGGGAAAGTTCAAACACTTTCATATCAACTACACCAACGTACGTAAAACGGTTTTCATTTGTTAAATTTAAAATATAATTCCGAAGATAAACTGAACATTTTTACTCTAAAAAAAAAAATCCAACAACAGTATAACAAAGAAAATGCGCGATTGTTCTCACGAAATCCCTTTATTTTGAGAGACGAAGAGTGGAAGGATAATCGAATGGATATCTCACCGGCGTTCACTACCATGAAGGTACAATGAAATTCGATTAATTTTTTGCTCTCAGTAAAGTCTATCCAACTATCAACCTTTTTGACTTTTTCATGCCGTAGACAAAGCTCACCTATCCCGTTGTAAATGAAATGTGCAAACGTTTGACGGGTTTCATCAAATCTGAAATAGCGAGTGGCAAACCGATTATGGACACAAAAGAGGTCAGTGCTTTATAATAAAGACGTACGTTTTAATTTACGTATTTTAATGGATTATTATTTATCTTCAATACCAAAAGATTACGGCAAAATTTACAGCCGATGTAATTTCCACCGTATGTTATGGTCTCGAGGCGAATGCCATTGCCGATGATAATTCCGAATTTTTGCAAGTTTCACATAAATTATTCAAGCCGTCGTACTGGAAACTTTGGTTTATCACATTCAAATCGGTATTCCCATATCTATTTAAAAACTATGAGATGCCATTTGTGACGGCGGAAATTGAAAAATACTTTATAAATCTAACGAACGAAGCAATTCAATTACGTCAACAACTCGCTACAAAACCAGATGATTATCTCAATTTCTTGTTGAAGTTAAAAGAAAAACGCAATTATGGTAACGTTGATGTTGCAGCCAATACAATTACATTCTTCCTCGATGCATACGAAACGTCTAGCATCGTTTTGACACATGCACTGTATCGCTTAGCAAAAAATCCACAATGTCAAATTAAATTACGTCAAGAGATTCAAGAGTGCAACGGTAACATTGATTTTGAAGTGATTAGTAATTTAAAGTATTTGGATCACGTATTCAATGGTAAGGAAAATTCATAAGGTTTGCATTCTTGTATTTATGCGATCGTCTTGTTGAGAACTGTCTTTTCATTTTGTTTTTCTAGAAAATCGATTGCAAATAATTTCAATAATTTTCTTTAATCATTAGAATCTTTGGTTTTCTTTTTTTTTTATATAGAAACACTAAGAATCAGCCCGCCCGGTTTTACAATCACAAAGGTTTGCACGGAACCAATTGAACTGGAAAATTATAATGGAAAACCATTGCTGATTGAAAAAGGAACGGTGGTTCAAATTCCAATTTATTCCATTCATAATGACCCTGAATTATTTCCGAATCCGCACATTTTTGATCCGGATCGCTTTGATGGTGTTGACCTGAAAGCGTTGAGAGATGAAGGTAAATTCTTTCCATTCGGCCATGGTCCACGAATATGCTTGGGAATGCGATTTTCAACATTTACAATCAAAGCGGCTATTGCTGAAATTGTCAGCAACTTGGAAATCACCATTAATCCACGAACAAAAGAACCAATTATTATTCGACCAGAAGATTTTCTCTATTTACATGTTCATGACATCTTCTTGGACTATAAGTTGATTACAAAATCGGAATAAATGTACAAAGGTCAACTTATTTTTCTTTTAACTCCTGCGAGGAAACGAATTCAAATGTTCAATATTCATAATATAATAAAAATATGATGAAAACAATCAATTGCATCAATTTAGTTTTAATCTTGTTGTTACAAATGAAATCTTATAAATTGAAGGTAAAAGAGAATCGATTTTTTTTTGCTAAATTGTCATTTTTATTGATTAAAGTTCAACTGAACACGTACAGTTATTGCATAAGAGCCTGTTTAATTTGCGCTTGAAATCACATTTTTATATCTCGTCGATACTTTATATCGCCATAATTAATCAATTGACGTATAAAACTTGCCTTTTCTAATATCTCAAAGTGTACGCTTTATTTTAAAATGTGAAATTGAATGTGAAATGGGTAGGGCTTATCTATATAAAACCAAAAGTTTGTATGCATGTATGTCCGGGATAAGTTGGCGGCAGAACGATTCATGCATGATGATGGTACCGCTGGGTAGGTGTATTATGATTCGATAAAAATCTTTCAACCTTTTCACTTGATGTATAACTTGATCGTTTTTCGCCATTGCAGTGACAATTCTTTTGATCATAAGCAACGACTGATTGATGCTAGCAATTTCGATGTATCCTGTTTATTTTATACTTTTCGTTTCAGTCAAATCAATGAAATTGATCACTGACTCGACGATGCTCTTTGATTCATGCTTTACACCAAAGTAGATTTTTAAACTACAGTACTGTTCGACTGCTGATTGAATTCTTTTTTCGAACACGAAGTTTCTCTGTACCACGTGACAACATGTCATTGGAACTTTTTATGGGTTTCTTAATCGAATGACCTAAATTATTATTCAAGAATCCAAAAGAGACAAATTATTTTAACCAAATTCTACCTTTGTTGTAAATCGACTCTGGCGGATTTTTCATCTAGCAAATAAAATGCTTGTATATATAAAACCATGATTACAGAACTCATAATTTATTTATCTTAAAAATATTTTTCATTTAATTTGTTTAAATCGCTTAATTACAGCACAAATGAAAATTGAACATAAATCTAATGGGCATTGTTTGAAATCAAAATTTAAAAAAAAATCAATCATCTTCATCGCTTTTATCATGTTTTCTCTTTAAACTGCCAAACACTTTATCGGGTATAGCTTGTTTTTCGATGTTTTTAATGACTTTAGTTTCGACATCGGAACCGTTGGTTTCATCATTATTTTCACCTTCCTCTTCTTCGTCTTCGTCTTCCTCATCATCGTCATCGATGTCAATTTCATCGGGATTAACGACTTTATCTTTTTCAGCGAGTCCGGTGGTTTCGCCTCGCACAAACATGATATTACTGTTGGCTGTTTTGGTTGGTTGGACTTGAGTTTCCATTGCTTTGGCCTCCAAAAGGCGCATACCATCTTTGGGCGTTTCACTGACCGGTGTTGTAGTGGCCATCATTTGCGCGGCCATCATATTCACTTGTGTATTATACGTTGCTTGAATGCTGCGCCGTATACGTAACATTTCACGCATTGTATCCTCGTTTCCATGTTTGATTTCGAATTCTTTCCACGTTTGCCAGAAGTGTTCGGTGATGCGTGGATCACACATTTGGCTGCAATGCGCATAAATGGCACGCGCTCGATCAATTTCACCGAGTTTTGTTTCCATTTCAGCGAATCGTACACACATTTCACGTGACTTATCTTCGGGTAAGACTTCGATGGCCTTTTCAAATATTTGCCGTGTTCGTGGTAAACCATAAATTTCGGCTGCTTTCTTAATATAAATATTAAACATATCGGCCATTTCGGTGTCTTTAACCGCTGTTGTAGCTCGTTCATACACGGCCATTGCATGCCGGGCCAATCCATGCTCTTCTTCCAATTTAGCATACAACAAATAGAAACATTTACACAATTCGGGTGGACAATTTTCCAAACATTGTTCGAATAAATCACGTAGACGTTCCAATTTGGTGCCACCATAACGTGCCAAAAATTTTGTTAGATACATATTCCATATGTCGTACACATTTGGCCATTTGAATAGAGCAATGCCTTTTTCGTATGACCGGAATGCTTCTTCAAAATAATTATTTTCCTCTAAAAACATGCCATAATTGATGATAATTTGTGGTGTGCAGATTTTCAAATCGATAATTCTATCGTAAACGGCTTTGCATGTTTTGAATGTGCCAAAACTCTCTTCGAAATCCGCATATGTTGCCCATAATTTAAGCGATTTATACAGACGCATTTGAACCGATTCCTTTTCATCGTGATAAGCAACCTTTCGTTTTGGCATCGCTGTTGCGCGTTGCATTAATTTCAACGCATTTTCATATTGTTCTTGTCGCACTTCCATTTCGGCCCATTCACACCAAACGGCTGCCAATTCATCGACTTTGATATACTCAACTTGAGTGCCCTTTTCAAATACAATACGTGCATCATCGATTTGGTCATTTTTCTCATAGAATTTTGCAAATTCAACCCATAATGTGTGCAATTTTCCAACGGCCAATTTTGGTTGAACGGTTTGAACGGCTTCGGTGTATGTTGCAATGATTTCAAGTAAATTACCTTCGTACAATTGAACCCGCTTATGCCATTCGGGTACATTGTGCGGATTTTGACGTAACAGCACACTGTTAAGCAATAACAAACGACGATCCATAAGATGCTCAAAACGTGCCATTCGCAGATCAACATCAATTTCATCGTCTTCACTTGGATTTGTATCGGATGCCAAATCTTCCATTTTCTTACTCAAACTCAACTCTTCAAATTGAGCGTATGCATCGAACACTTGGGTAAAATCACGAACAGTTGTCACCGTTTGAATGGCCTCTTCATAAATGTCACGCGCACGATCGAATAAACCGCTTCGCACATAGTAATTGGCCAACGATGTCCACAGGTGACCCAATTGATCGGTATAACGACGCAATCCACCACGAATAATCGCATCAATATTCAACGAATGAACTTTATCCGGATTTTTCGATATTAATTCGCACAACTCGTTCCAAAGTTGATGATTTGATTTGCCATGTTTCGATACGAAATGTTCATTGTCAACCACTGATGCCAATTGCTGTGCAGCCTCATCTAATCGACCGACTTTCGTCAAATATTCGATATATTCTTCATTGTCTTCTGGATAAAGTTTCAAATATCGTCGATAAACACGTACGGCCGTCTCCGGTATATCGAATTTCTTCAAAAAATTCAAATACAGCGGCCAAACACGGTGATGTTGTGTGATTGGAAGGGCACGGAGTGCACGGTCAAATACATGACGCGTTCGTGTTATTTTGCATTGATTCACCATAAATGAACAATAATCCATCCAAATGCGTGGCATTTTATGCATAAACACCAGTGAACGTTCGAATGCATTGTTTACTTCTTCAATCAGTGGATCGTTTATTGGTCGGCCACGAACTTGCTTGCGTCTCGTTCGTAAATAATTAAACCATAATTTATACGATCCCGGTAACTCTTTTAATGCACGTTCGAACACAATGTTCACACCAAACGACGGTGAATTCTTCTTGTGTTCGACATATCGTAGCCAATGTTTTACTGAAAATGCATTCCGTAAAATTTCCTCCTCATATGCGATATCTTCTTGATGCTAAAACCGAAAAAAAAACGAAAATTGAAATTTCAGATTTGATGGTCAGTGATTTTGTTCCATTTCACAAACAATTTTGTTAAACGTTTACATGCGAGACGTCACATAATAAGACGGTAACAAAAAGTAAGGTTAGTTTCTGAATTGCACAGAATTTTCGTGCACTTTTACTTACAAAATCAACGTCCATCGCTTGCGCTTCGCTATTGTTTGACATTTTTCAGTTGCTTCTATTCGATTCACTGTGAAAACTGAAAATTATTCGCAAAAAAAATCAAATAAACACAAATCACAATTGTTCCATTGGACGTTCGCCGCTCACCGAATGTATCAAAGCGGTATTTGTAAGCAACTAGTTTGAAATGTCAAAATCATAAAACAACGGCCATTGGTATTGGTTTTGACAGTTGTACTGACACACTGGATGTGTGTGTGCTTTTGCGTTGAGGTTCGTTGTCATTATCGACCAAATGAATGATGTGCATGCGTACATGTAGTTGTGCACAGCATGTGAATTGACCGTACGCAATGCATTACAATGTGAGTAACGAAAACGAGCAATAAGTCTATTTATATACCATTGGACTCAAATACTCTGACACACATACACACCAATTGAAAAATGTCAATTTGTTTATTTGCGACTCTCAACTGATTCTCTTGTATTGTTTTCGTTTTTTTTGCTTCATTCTCTATTCTCTCGCTGTCTAGTATTTGATTGCAAAATTGTTCTATTTTGGCATCTTGATTCTCGTGATTGATACACATTTTCAGTAGAAAATTCTATCGGTAATTAAAACTTCCACGCCAATGTCATCGTTTCTTGCATGGTCATAGAAACAAATCATTTCAATCAATTTGACTTTTTTTTCTTCTCCACAAAGGTTAGTTTTGAATGAATTTGAACCCCCTGTATTTTGTGATAACAAAACATATTGTGTGTGTGCATTGAAATTCATGTCCCATCAAGAAATTTTGAGTTTGGTTTGACAAACAGAATATTTGAAAACAAAAAGTGATTGTAAGCAAATGATTGAAAAATTTGTATACATTTTTTACCCTGAAAATATTTAGAATTAGACGATAAAAAATTAGGAAATATGTCAAATTCGACGGCATTCAGCAAAGCGCGACAGCGTCGAAGGTTGGCTGCTATCGCTTTCCTTTCGAACATTTCCATGGATGGAACACATCGTGACACCAAATGGGGAGCACTGATGAATAAACGGCATAAAGACAATGATACTAAAGAGAATCATGCAATTGGAAATGGATCAGTTGGGACACCACTATCAAAAGCGATATTCAGCGACAGTGACAATTTTTCGGGCGACATTCAACCAACTAGCGCTAGAACCAAATCCAGAAAATCTACATTACGCTCAATGGAACAAAGTCCAGATCGAATGTCGGAAAGTTCAGACTCAGACAGTTCGAAAATGCGTGTTTTTCAAACACCCATTCGTGATCGGTTGGTTTATTTCATTTTTTTTTCATACTGAATTCATTTAAATTAATATAATTGTTCCCCTTTCAGAACAATGACCGTCTGTGCAAAACCAACGCGTGAATCGCCATCGATAACCAGTGAGGTGCGAACTCGTTTATTTTCTGCATCGAGTCGACCGAGTTTAACAGCAAAACGAGCATTGGGTGTAGATGATAAAAAATACAGTGATCTCAGTAGCAATGAAAGTCTTACACATGTCGGAAGTGTTGGCCGATTGGCACGTAGTGTTCAAATTACCGAACAAAAGGGAGATGTTAAATACGTGTCAAGCTCAAATCGTAATCATAATTTCAAAGACGATCGAATCGTTTTAGTGACGAACAAAGTGCCATTTTATATGTTCAGTAACATACCATTTTGTAAAAATCATAAGAATAGCGCTAGGTAAGTTAATTGTGAGCAAAAAAAAAAAAATCAATATGGTATTAAATGTGTCAATAATGTAACCACAGAATCGAATTGCGAAAAGATGGAGCCAGAAGGAGAAACACATCTGGTCCGCGGCCATTGTCAGCCATCAACGATATTGCATTTGATGCTTTCGATTTGTTGGGCATTGAAAAGGGTGAAAATGGTCAGGAGAAATCATATGGCTATCTGTTAATACCATCAAGACCACAACAAAAAGAAAAGAAAAATCCGTTTGGCATGCAAATCGAACCGAACCTGGAGTTGACCGGTCCACATGTCCTCAAAAATTATGGAATGGCCAGGTAAAAAAATTCAGAACAAAAGGAAACATTCTTTTTCGATTTTTTTTTTCAATCAATTTTATTTAAATTAGAATGATATAGTTTTCTTTGCATGTGAAACAATGAATTAAATATTTATTTTAGTTGAATACTGCAAATATGTAATCATCTTATTTTTAATCCAATTTATTTGTGAAATTCTTCATAAAAAAGCGCGTAGGAAAAGAAATCATAAGAAATAAGAACAATTTAATCCAATTTGTTTCTTTTCTTTTTAAATGATATCACCAGTCCTTGCCAAATGTGCTACGTAATTCATTGTTTATTTTCTATGCCGCAGGTACTATCCATTTGAAAATTACACAAATACTCGAAATATGAACGGCAGCATGTCAGTCGGCAGTAATGAAAAGCAAACAAGTGACGATCAAATTGACGCTGATGGAAAATTCAATATGGTTCGTTTTTTTATTCTCACTTATTTAATTACCAAAGTAAAGCAAAAAAAAAAGAGAATCATTAAATGATTATAAACACTCAGTGCACGTACATTGTATTTTGAACTACTGATATGCGTAGACAATTTTTTTTTTCATCTTTTTTTCGTTTTCCTTTTAGTATCAATATTCAGCTAATTTGTTGGATGACCCGGAATTAATAGCAGGCAAACATCGAACTCTCCTAACATTCACGTCGTATGTGACATCGGTGATCGATTACGTAAAGTCATCGGACTTGAAAAAAGAATTGAACGATAAGTTTCGCGAACGCTTTCCTCATATACAGTTAACATTGAGTAAATTACGTAGTTTAAAACGTGAAATGCGTCGCATCAATAAAATGGACAATCGCATTGATTTACTTACCGTATCACAGGCTTATGTTTACTTTGAAAAATTAATATTGGCCAATTTGATAAACAAAGAGAATCGAAAACTATGTGCCGGCTCTTGTTTATTATTAAGCGCCAAATTGAATGACATCAAGGGCGATGCACTGAAAAGTTTAATTGAGGTACTTTTGATATTACATTTTTCTTTGTTCATTTTGAATGCATAGCTCATTGTGAGTTTTATAATAATTTAATATATCTTATTATGACATTTAAAAAAAGAATGCTTAGCATAAATATCGTATAATTTTGTGCTTTTTTAACGCTTTTTTTTTCTTTTCAGAAAATCGAAAGCGTATTTCGTTTGAATCGTAAGGAGTTGCTTGCGTCTGAGTTTGCTGTGTTAGTTGCCCTTGAATTCAGCTTACACGTACCAATTAGCGAAATATTTCCTCATTATCAACGCCTTGTCTATGAATCATAGAATTCGGCCATTTGCTGTGAATTTACGCTGAAAACGAAGAAAAAATTGATGACAAATTCAAAACGACTCAGTTCATTTGAGATATTTTTGTACATTGATACTACAGTGTTATTTGATACAAATACGGTTTACAAAAGCGACCGACAAACAAATAACAAAATTAACATGAAATTATATGTAGGCTAAAAAGCTCAAATATAATTATACTAAAATCATATACATGTTTTTACGATGCAAATATATTTAATATCAACAAAAAGGAGATAAAAAAAATTAAAAAATAAAAATAATGTGTTCGTTCAAAATAATGTTTATTGTGGAAACGAAAAAAAAGACACACTCAGACGGATACATATAAAACTGTTTTTTCCCTTTTTTGTTGCCAAAACTTTTGAGAAAACTATTTGTTTTAATACAATAAATATTATAACATTTAAACTTTTGTTAAAAAACTATGTTTTTTTTTCATCAACATCAGACATAATATTTCCTTATATATTTTTTTCTTCTAGAAAATATTACACATGCAATAATAAATGATTGCTAAAGATATGACACTGGTAAATGCAACTTAACCAAAATAAAATTAGAGAGAAAAATGAAAATTGGTAAATTAAGGAAGAAGCCGCGAAAACATTGCTACAGAAATTCCCATTCACTGTCGCTACCTAGAGTGACCAGAAAAAAATGCAATTATATTGTGTTTTCTTTTTAAATGGAATAAAAAAATATAGGCTACCTTCTGGTTTTCGATTGTCATTAGATTTGTTTGTGACATCGCCGTTGTACCGGTTTACATCATATTTTTCAATTTTTAAATCCCATAACTTTGGCAAATTTGCTAGGCTTGAGAAATATTTGTCGGTTGTTTTCGTGGCCGTTTGATGTGACTTCGATGGTGCTGGCATCATCGTGGGCGGTGTATTTGTTGGTGTTCGATTGTTTGCACATTGCTTGATTATATCAAGGCTATCGATTGCATCGCCTTCATATTCATCATCGTCACTTGTCAGCGGCACATCGGAAAGTGGTGAGTCCATTGAAATTCCATCGATAATTCGTTCACCTTTTTGAAATTCCTCCAAAGTCGGTCGACTAAACTGGTTTCCAATTGGATACATGAGTTTAAGCGCTGGTACAGTGAAGAGAGGTGTATTCATAGCTTTTTGCCTTCCAAATGAACTACTCGATGCATACGACCGACCCAATTCAAGTGGTTTGAATTGCATTCGTTCCGGTGAATTATTTTGCGATGAATATGATTTATCTTTTTGAAGTGAATTCACACTCTCCATTTGATGCATGGCTTCATTTCCATTTTGTTGAATTATTGAATTGTTCTTTTGCTCTGTTGTTCCGTTGGTATTGGTGTTTGGCTTTGGTTCTGATTCATTATTTGGTGTGATCAAATCTCGTTCAGTATGAACGAAATCACAGAAACTGGCTTGCATCAGACATGGTTTTGTTGTTTTATTTGCAAATGTGCCAATCCGTGTTTGTTGATCCACAATTTCCTTATTTGTATGAGCAAATCCATTTGGATTATCATTGAAGAATTCGGCTTTTCGGCCAATTTCAACGACACCATCGACTTTTTTTGTTTCATCATTTGTTATTGAATCGCTCGAGACTTTCTTCTTTTTCTTTGTACCTTTTTGAAATAAAATCGATTCATCGTAGTCTAATGTGTTGATCTTCTCAAAGATTTCCAATTTTTTACTATGTTCCAGCAATAATTTATCCTCTTTCAACATTTGATGTTCACCGATACGACATGCCAACGGTACATCCAATTGTATATTTTCGATTGGCGGCAATTCAAAGCATTCATCAGCTTGTGTAATTGTTTCTTCTTGAATTTCGATATTTGAATCGTTCAACATTAGATTTTCATTGTTCGATGGCACATATTTTGTACTATTTGCCATTGCAGCGCCTTCCGGTACGATTGATATCCGTACAATACTACGGCCTCCTTCTACAATAAATATCTCATTGCCATTGACCGTTAAATACTGTATATTTCGTAAGCGTTTAATCGTAGCCATCACTTTAAGCTTTTCTAAATTTACTATAAATACCATCGTTTCGCAATAGGTCACAATGTATTGGCCTAGATAATAAAAACACGGACCAAAATATGTGTCTTTGATGGTCGTGCCAGGAATGTTGTGGACAGGATTCAATAATGGCACTTCAAAGATCGAACGAACTTCGTGGACGCTCTCTTTCAATAAAAATGTGTGCGACACATTGCCATCGATGTCGGCCATCCAAAACCGAAAACCAGGCCGTGCACATATGATTGACGGTGGTTTTCGTTGATCAACATCGGTTGGAGTGAATACCGCACCAAAATCGTTTAAAACTTTACGATCCGTACGACCAATTTGTGATATTTTCCAATGACCCGTTTCATCAAATTTACATATAATCGCACGATATAGTGTTGATATCAATAACCATGGATTGTGAAATTGCATTTGAACAATGCCGAAGTTTTCATTAATCACTTTAATTGATTTGCTGATGTGTTGACCAAAATCAATTGAAGTGAGAACGACCACACCGTGATTATCACCCGAAAATAATTTCATCCCATTTTTTGACCATTCAACGCAAGTGATTGCACCTCGATACGCATCTTTGATGGTATAACGTTCGATTGGATTGGATGTTATGAGTGCGGTTGCGGCTAATTCATGTGCTGCCAACAATTCGGCGGGCAATTCTTTTTGTATTTGAAATATGCTGACTTCACCATTGGTATTGCCAGCTGCTACCATATATTCCACCGAAGATACTAATCGTATGCATGTTATCGCTGCTGTTGACTGAAATGTGAGAAAAAAAATCATGAAATTAAGGAATTTTTTTTTCTATAAAATCATATACTATCGCAGTCTACAGCATACTATAGATAATTTGTGATCAACAACAAAAATGCAATTTTTTCTCCCCCATGGCGTTATCGGAACCGCCGTTAATGTGCACATTGTCAAGGCAGATAAAAAAAACAGTGAGAGAATAAACAACAATATCCGTGCTGATTCATCTTTGCGGGACTATGACAATAAACAAGTTCCTCATTGCGTATCAGTTAAGTGTACACTACTTTGATTTGAAATCGTGATAGTTTTTCTTTTATTTTCCATTTACTTTACATTTGCTTCGATGAGGTCGAATGTCATGAATATACACGTAAACATATGTATTGAAATTTACCTCGGTACGTAGTTTTTGTACGTTGCCATTGCGTCGATTGTACCAAAATATGATGCCAATATCGGAGCCAAGGGCCAAAAATTCGGGCAATGCATCAATGCATGTAATATTTAATTCTTGGAAAAAGAAACCTTTTTGAATTTTCGGCGGAATTTTTTGGAAAACATCTTTAATTGGTTGCCATTCTCTTAAGTTGCGTAAATCAAATTCGTCACTTTCCATTCAATATGATATGTTGTCGTTGTCAACTTATTTTTCTTCTTCGTGTTGTTGTTGTTGCTCTTGTTCGTTTTTCTTTATCGAATACTTGAGCTTCTCACACTCTCTCTCTATGTTCATTCGATTTCTCAACACAAACACTTGTCATCTAATTGGATATCTGATTTCTTACGGCAAAAACTTATACGACGCACTACTCTGAATAGAATTGCTGGGATTTCACTGCGCTCTATCAATTTCACTGAATCCGAGAGTTAAATAAACAATTTAATTCGAAATTGAATTCCAACAGCATGCAATATGCTGTACACTTATTCAGCTATGTGTCTGTGTTTACGTTTTTTCACATTTGAATAAATTGGATTTTTGTTGCACATAACATCAAAATTTAAATCCGGTTTAAATCAATTCGGTTTTTCGTGCAGTTTTGTTTTAAGATTTTATAACATTTATTCCACATTTCATTATTACATACTTTCGCCAAATTTCTTTCGGATTCGTTGATTTATTTTTAATTTAATTTTGAAAAACAAAACAATAATTTACAAATTGTTTGTAGTGCCATCAACAAACTTATATGGAACTTACATCGAAACTTACACAGACATAACCCGATTTTTGTTGTGTCAAATATGCTCTATTGTTTACATCGTTCTCGCATTCAAATTCATAAGAATTGTTGAGCAAAAATATTAAAACCATGAATTAAACGAAAACGTTTTCTTTTATCTTTGTCATATTATTTTACTCAATTATGAATAAACAAATTTTCTTTTAATTTTAACTCGACAATGCAATTCAATTTAAACAAGAAAAATGTTGTTAATGGTGCCACCTACAGATCATTTTTGCAAACTACTTACAATTTGACATTACGATAAAAAAAGAAGCATGCTTATTCATTTGTCAAACACGTTCAAAGCATGTTTTTGTAACAAAATAAATGCAACTGTTGCCGATCGTGTTCCAGATATTATTCGTTAGATTTAATATACATATTGAAGTGAATTCAACAAAAAAATAAATAAAAAATGTCAGAAGGTGGTGCTAATGATGGAGGCAAAAATAGCTATCGCAACAAAATAAAGAAAAGAAAGAAGAAGTTTTTGGCCAATGTTAAAGGCTTCGGCAAACAAGGGAATTTCGGTCGTGGTACACATTTGGAGAGTGACGAATGGAATTACTACATCAACATTTTGGACGTAATGAAGAAAGGCTTTGATTCAATAGACGAAAAGAGTAAGTCAAGCTAAAAATCGGCATATTTTTTTTCCCAAAATTTCGTTGACGAATGAACTGTTTTCAAATATCTGTCATGTTCTTCTTTTCAGCAACCATGGCCGATAATGTCCTCGAGCAAACGATTGGCAAAGAAATTCATACAGCTTCCAATCAAATAGCTTGCACAATTATTGAAGCATTGCTTCCGTTTTCGAATGCCGAAAATTTTGAGCGTTTCCAAACAACATTTGCATCAAATTTTCGGCCAATTTGTTCGGACAAATTTGCGTCACACATTCTCGAGAAACTCGTTTCGATTTCAATGTTACGCGCGGTGAGTGCTGAAAATGTTGAAGATTTATCAGAATCAAGCGAAACGCCACAGGCAAAAAAACGAAAAGCAACCGAAATTCCAAGTGAACGGGATTATAATTTGAAAACACAATTTAGCGATGAACATCGGCAAATATGCCGTGAATTTGTTGTGAAGGCTAGTAAATTTTTGATGAATAATTTGGAAGATTTTGTATGGGATACATATGGCAGTCATATAATGCGTACATGTTTCGATAGTTTAAGCGGTGTATTTCAAATCAAAAAGAGTTTTATCGGCGGCGGCGGCGGCGGCGGTGGTGGTTCCACCGAGAGTAAAACTACGGCTATCGATAAGAATTTAACTGTGCCGGATGAATGGCTGGAAATTTTGCAAGAATATGCGAAAAGACTACAGGCATGGCCACAGTTTCCTGATTTTCCATACAATGAATTATCATCAGGATTGGTGCAGAGTTTGTGTACAGCATTACATACGCGTGATAAAAGCACAATCAAACATATGGGCAAACGGCTGCTTAACGAAGCATTTTTACCAACTGTTGCACAATCCAAAGCGAACGATGAAAAAATTGATGTGGAAGAAGTGAAGTATGATATTGACGGTGAAGCCGAAGTTAAACCAGATACGGACGTACAAAAGTCCGAAGAGAATGATTCGGCTGAAGGTGAAGCGTCTAGCAAACAAACTGAAGATACAATTGACCAAAATATGCCATCAGTTTTCAGTAGTGAACCGGCCATTCGGTGTTTGGAAACATTCATTCAAATTTCCGGTCCAAAATTATTTACACAAATCTATGCGATGCTCTTCTGCGGACGTTTGGTCAAATTGAGTACAGTTCGATTGACAAATTTTAGTGTGCAAAAATTATTGGACCGTGCCAAAGAGAAAGAAGAATTCGAAGCAATTTTTGATGAATTGGAAGGTTCAATCGAGCAATTACTTCAAATTGGTCATACGGGCGTTGTTAGTGCATTGGCCCAAGGATGTTTACGATTGTGTACACGTCAGGGTCCATTCATGAAGGCCATTCAAAGTGCATTGGATTGCGTGCAACCGAAAGAAAAAAGTGACAAATTTGCAATGCTCGTATTAAAATTGAAGCCATACAAAGTGGCCATGGAAGATAAATCGAATTTCATTCACATACACGGTGCCGTCATTCTACAGGCAATGCTTCAATTTAACAAACCGATTAAATTGGTTCAATGCATTTTGGACACCAGCAATGATGTGTTAACGGACATTTTTTGTTCACCAAAGGGTTCACATGTTGTTGATGCATTCATGGATAGCAAAGCTGTTGGTGAAAAATCAAGAGAGAAATTAATACGTCACATGAATGATTGCTACTTGCAAATGGCAATATCAAAACATGGATCATGGTCGGTTGAAAAACTATTCAATTGTGCTAGCGATGCACAAAAGTCACGAATCGTTAAAGAGCTAAGCGAAAAACAGAATCAATTGAATGGCAGCCCATTTGGACGACTTTTAAATCATAAATTTCATGTGGATACGTATCGTTTAAGCCCGGAGCAATGGCGTGCTTCTTTCAAGAAAGAAACTAAAGCCGATCGTCTATTTAAGGATATTTTGTAAACAAATTGTTATGAATGGGTTAAAAAGAAAATCGAAATTTTTTTTAGAAACGGGGTATTTTATTTTACATGAATTCTCATAATAGTTTCAGTTTAGATTTTACAGTTTTTTTCTTTTATTAAATTTTTCAATTTATTCTATTGGTTTCTCATTGCTTAATTCTATGATGACATCCCATTGTTGTGATGTTATTGATGAAACTGATAGTCGTGGCTGTTTCAAAATGGTAAGTGACTGTAGATCTGTCGATTCCTTAAGCATTTTCAATGTAACCGGATATTCAAGCGGACGAACGTATTCGACGTCAACTTCGCCAAATTTTGGGTCGGTATTATGATAAAATTCCTTAACAATTTTCACAATGCCAACAATTGCTTTCTCCTTTTCGGTATGGTAGTAGAATGCCAAATCACCACATTTCATCGATTTTAAATAGTTCTGTGCTTGATGGTTGTGAATTCCATTCCAGGTTGTTTTGCCGTCGTCTTTCATTTTTGAAAATGGATAATCGCTTGATGAAAAAATAAAATATAAATCCCGAAATTCAATGGAACTGTTAGCTTTCTTGTATTTTTCTCTTACCTCGGTTCAACTTTCAACAGCCAATATTGTGACGGAATTTCTTTTGCCATTTTTGTTTCTTCAATGCTGAACGAAACGTTGTGTCGAATTTACTTATAACAAAGATCACTTTGGAAAACTAAAACAAATTTCTTCCGAAGAACTCGTTTGGCTGTCATTTGATTTGCGTTTATTTTTCCAATCAGCCGTTTATTTAGCATGGCGGGATATGTTGCACATCAAAACCACAGATGCTATAGTTGCTTAACAGATGGAGTCACTGTAAATTCCATGCATCATCTGTAGCAGATTTTAATACCAACTCAACGATATAATTACAGGTCTCCATGTTAGTGTATTCCGTCGACTTTGTTGTTGCTGCTATATATTTTTTGTGTTATTCCAACAGATTTACACATAGACCAAAATAAAAAAAAACTTTCACATTTTCAATTGTATCGTTTCCACTTTCGGTGCGATATCAGTGTGTATGTGCAAAAGTAGATAAAATGCTTGTGATTTACACACTTTTGTTATTGGTTTGTGTGTGACATTGTTCAGCTGTGGTGATATACACTCTGTCAATGCGACTATTAAAAACGAACAGAAAAAACGAATTTTGCTGAAATTGCATTCATTAAAACTTGTACAAAAGTGAAATGATATATGTGTGCTGTGTGCGGCGCTTTTAGAACAAACAAAATTAATTTAGTTTGAATATATTCAGAGTGTGTGTTGCGATTGCGAGTGAGGGACTATGCTCGCCATTCACACATATCGTCACATTAAATAAAAACAACAACAACAACAAAATTTAATGAATTTTAAATAATAAGTGAAAACATCATAAACACACTCAGCGAATTTCATTTGCATACATAAATATCATTTTGTTTTTTTTTCTGTTAAACTGCTACCAAATCCACAAATGCATAGATTTGAAAAAAAACAAACCGTTCACGACATGAATTCGGCGATCGTTTTACCAATTCATCGAACCGTATCAACCAAAATATCCAATGGTTTACCATAGATTCGTATTTATTTCGTGTTGTTTTTTCTTGTGATATTTTTATTATTATTATTACGATTTTTTTAAACTTAAAATTCTTTGATTTGTACTTAATATTATACGTGGATTCGATAAAAAGAAATTAATTGTTAATGTAAGAGACCACAATCGATTCTCTTCTCACTGTAACGATATTGTCACAAACACCAAAATAAACGTAAGAAAAGCCAAATATTCCAATCGCTTGGATCGGGTAACAGGAAAGATTTAGTGGAATACAAGATGTTGACGTCGAAACCATCGAAAGTAGCCAAAGTGGTCATTTGTGGAATGAAAAGTGTTGGAAAAACAGCGATATTAGAACAACTCATTTATGGTAGCATTACATTATGTTATTACTATTATTCTTCGATTAGTTTCGATTATCGTCATTAATTGTAATATATGACGATGATGGAAATTGAATCTATGTGAAATTACAACTACCAAATCTCAATTTAAAGCAATTGCTGGACATTATTGTTGTTGTGGCTATTGCTTTGCAATTTTTTCATTATATGTTTCCGATTATTTTTCGATTATTCTCCGATTACTTATCGATTATTTTAAATTTTATTCTTTCCTTTTGTGATTCTCCCCTTAGGTAGCATTACACCTGACACAGTAAGTTTATAGTTTCGCTGTCTCTTTTTCGGTGTGTCTGTTCATCGGTTCAAGTTCTTTTGTTTTTGTACACATTTTAATTCAAAACACATGATCATTTGCAGGAACTCCATCCAACGATAGAAGACACATATGTAGCTAGTGTTGACACTGGACGAGGATCAAGAGATATATTACGCATTTATGACACAGCCGGTTTACAAGGAAATGTACAGGTAAACACCGAATTTGTGAATTGAAATTGCGAATTGATGTGCACAATATGTGTAACAATAGCAATGAGTAAAAAATGTCGTTGCATGACATGATGATTCATTAAGAAATAATGTTTTCCGATAAGAGTAAATACAAAATCAGTCATGGAATTGCTTTTAAATGTGCCGTCATATCAGTATTCTCACTTTACGATCATCATCTCACCATTTCTTTGTACGATTCACGCAATAATTTTTTTTTTCTTCCATTCATCCATCGCATTCTGTTTTTTCTGATTAAAATTATCGCACATAAAAATGTAATAAAATACTAATCGGTATTTATCTCTGTCTGTATTTTGTAGCAATTACCACGGCATTACCTTCAGTTTCCCGATGGATTTGTATTGGTATACGATCCTTGTGAGCCGTCAAGCTTAGATTTGTTGGCTAGCATAAAGAGTGACATCGACAAGAACAAAGATAAAAAAGATGTAACGTATCATTATTGACATTGATTCATATTCAATAATTTAAAACGGAAACAATAAATGATTTATCGTCTTCTTTCTCATTCGATATTCATAGGTATGTGTAATCGTTATTGCAAATATGCATTTGAAAAGTAATCGATCAACATCATCAAATGCGAACGCAATTGATCCGACCGAATCAATAAATCGTGCCAACAATTGGTGCGAACGGGAAAGGATAAAACACTATACGGTGAATGCCATGGAGCGCGCTTCACTGTACGAACCATTCATCAACATTGCCGTACGTTTGCATCCACCACAAACCAAAACCACATTTCCACAGTTACGTCAATTAACACAGAAAACCTCAAAGGCTGATAACAATTGAAGAAACGGCACCATCACAACACACACTCACACTCACATACGTACACATACACACGCAAATACATTCAAAATGAAAGAAAAAGAGAGAGAAATGTTATTTATTTTATTTTTTATTCAAACTTTTTTGATAATTTTTTTTTTGTTTGGTTTCTTATATTTAACAAACGGTTGTACTTATGACAAGAGAAAAACACAAACAGTACTTAGAAACGGTGTAAAAAGCATTTTCTCACTCATTATTATATTGTTAATAACCTGAATTTTTAATGTTTAAGATTATTATTAACACCAAAAGATCGGCATTTAACATGAATAAGCAGATGGCATACCTAGCCGGCAATTTGCGTCGCTTTATTTTTATTGCAGATTTTCCTTGGTGTTGTTGTCTGCTTATTTATATGGTTGCGGACCTTTGTTTAACACAAAGACGTCGAAAAAAAATGAATAATAAATCTAAATGCAAATAAATGTAACGTTTTCTTTCTGTATACGAAAAGAAAAGAAGAAGTTTAAGTTAACTGCAGTTGTTGCGGAACATATGAGCTAGGTAAAAGATTCGGACGAAAGGAACGTGATTCTACCATTTGAGGAGGTATTTTAGTTTTCTTAGAATGATTTTTGTATCAAATGCCTCATCCCATATTGAACTACTAATGCCAAATCCTTTGTCATGATGCACAAAATGGTGCTGATAATGATAGCGCTTCATAAAGTACAGATGACCACCCGACGGAGAACCATGATGAATATAATAATGCATCATGTCATAGCATAAATAACCTGGAACAACATTCGAATAAATGAATAATTTAGCGAAATTTTGAATATTTGACTCTTTTTCCAAGCGATTACCCGTTAATCCGCCGGCAAATACTAATTTTGGATTGTGTAGCAAAATTTGAATGGGTATATAGATAATGATTGCTAAAATTGTTGCCGGAAATGGTGGAAAAACCAAACGATACGGATCGAAAGGCACCTTATGATGTAGACCGTGTAACAAAAAATGAAGGGTGCACACAAGGCCACCGTGATTCGATGCATCCAAATGAAAAACCCATCGATGAAGCGAATATTCTAAAAAAATGATATATATAACATAGAATATTCGTATATACATGATATAAATGACTGTATATACCTATTAGCGTCCATAAAAATACGCCGAGAATCAATTGCCACACAATGAATCCCTGAAAAAGAGAAAAATTTAGAATGTGATAATAAAATGTGAACTATGATAGTTGTAAAATAATTTAGGATTATTAAGGGCCAGACAGTTTGCTTACATTGCCATATTGTTTAGTGTATGCGTCATCAATGCCCATACTTATCAGGAATATGATTATTGGAATCCAAAACGTCGGCACCAGCCACCATGGTGTTTTCGTTAGCATTTCTAATAGATTTGTGTCGAATAAATGTAGCGGTCGATCAACAGGCTTATTCACCTAGAGATGATCAAAAGAAAAAACTATGAAAAAAGTGGAAATGGAAATGGAATTATGTGTATTCACCCATTCGGTATAGTTTGAACCAAGGCTACCAATTTGTGCTATCATACCACGTGACCAATCAACCAAGTGCTAAAAATAGTAAGAATACACAATGTCGTAAATTGAATTGCTATATTGGCTTAATGAAAATCTAATCGAACACACATTTACATAATTTTTCTTATTTAATATACTTGCAATATGCACCACCTCAAAAATAACCACAACGCAAATTACTACTGTAAAAATTGATGCAAATAGATAATTGCATGTTGTTTATCGATTGTGTGTCAATTGGAGCTGCAATTTGGTTTTTCTTTTTCTTTTGTTTTTTGACGACTTTCTTCAATCAAAAGAATATTTAGAACATGTTAAAAAAAAGTTTCATTACCTCCATGCTATCGTCAGTTCTTATAAGATGTTCAACATTGTTACGCCCATTTGAGTTGTGTTCAAAAGTTTCACCATGACTGCTTTGTTTGCTGTTCGACATTTCACTATCGCATTTATTGCCATCGCGGACGACGTCATCATTATTATTATTGTTGTTGATTTGATTTGATACACGATATTCTTTCAATAAGTATTTGGCGGCTTGCGAATGAGGCATTGCTGTTTCAAACTTATAATCAATATCTGAATTGAAGGCTGCACTTAGAGTATTTTTGCCGCCCGGATGTTTATGCGCAAATTGTGTTAAATCAAACGTTTCACTTTTATAACGAACGAACAATTTTTCTCGAATCTCTTGATTATCGTCACTCATTTTGCTCGCTTTGTGTCTCACCAATTTTGACTGTCACATAAAATTCATTCGAATCTATTGATTAACATCGGTTTTTTTAGTTTATTGTTGGTGATAGTGTGTTTTTTTTAATTTGATGCACCAACGTCACTTTGTGTTTTGTTTATCGCCGAATTTTATGAGAACCATTTTGGGCTTTTATTATTCAAATAAACTAAACAAAATTATCGTTTTTTTTCTCTCTACTTCAAACGGTAAACTTTCTAAACGACCGCGAAATGAAAAATACAAGAGAAACAAAAAAGAAATGATAAAAAAGCTAGCCAAATGTGACATGCACTTTATTTTAGTTTACAATAGTACATTTCATAATATGCACACAAAAACCCGCGCTCATTCAAAATTCCGCACAGATGGACAGACGGCGTCGTGGCCGTCGTCGTCGTCGTCGTCGTTTGCTATCCGTTTCACCGTTTTTTTTTTTTGAAGTCACGATTATCCGTATCGCTCAATATACCTTAATAGCCGACGCAAATTTCATACTATTTTCTTGATCAATAATTTAATTTTTTCGATTGATTTTCTGCACACTGTATTGCGTCCTCACTTCTAGTTCAGTTTTTTGTTGTTGTTCTATTCATTCTTTTTCGCTCACTCTTGTTGTCTTTTTAATTTGGCGCAACATTCATTTTGTTTGTACAATATTCATGTCAATGCAATGCCGTTTGCTGTCCATCAAACTATTTACTCTCTCTGGCTCAAAACCGTCCTTTTCACTTCACCTCACAATTCAATCTTTGGAAAAATGTAAATGTTTTTATTACACAGTACACATATATTCCATCCAGCGCGTTGCTTACGAAAGCACTTTATTGTCACATCCTTTGTATTGGCCACTATCAGAACTCTACACTGTATGTATTGAAGAAAAAAAAAGAGTTGCCCACTAACTTACAAACCGTTAAGTTATACCATATGCTCTGATCTAATTGCTTTTGGAAATTTCGAAACACCAAACGAAAAATGAAAGAGAACATAAAAAATAAAATAGATGACGGCTAGTTTGATAAGCTCAAGTTGAGTGTGGGCCCGTGAATGATAGAACGTTGTATGGGAAATCTATAAAAGTGTACAATTATTATATACTCAATAAGTTTGTTTTTATTTATTCACCGTCTGATCAAAGACTGAATTTATCACACAATTTATAATTAAGAATTAATATTGTGGTTGCATTCGATAATTTCGAATGTTCAGAATATTTAACCATGTGAAGTGTGTTTGCATTCCAAGAATTTGTAAAGACAAGCTGCTTCTGACATTTGGCGAACACTTATTTCGATGATTAACTATTTTCTTCGATAAATCACGGTCAATTTTACCTTGAAATAATTTTGTTCACGATAACCGAACACGAATTTTGAATGTCATGTATTGAATGTAAAACAAATTTTATTCTTTTATTTTTATTGAGCTTTTACAAAGATAAAACGTGAAGTTACCTCCCCGATAAATATCGCCAAATAATATTCAAACAAATAAAATGCAACAATATTAAATGAAACAAAAGATATTCTAGTTCCGCATTGTGAGCGTACGGTTTGTTTATTGCCATCACTACACATACACAAACAGTCACAGAAACAAATTAAATTGCAATATGCTGATTTGTTGTTTTGTCTTTAGTATCAATTCTGAACTGGCGAACAAACGGATATTCCGACAAATTCAGTCCACAATCGACTACGAACGATGAACTGCTACTAATTGAATTTTGTGTATCATCACTTTCGAAGAAAATATTGCAAGTCGTTTGATTAATTTTCCCTTCACAATATTTAACAAAAATTCCTCGAATGAACATCTTTTTTCGACGGTCATTTGACATAAATACAATCTTAATGAAAAAAACCAAATCTTCGCAATAATTTCAGTGAAGTTGAAATATCTGATCACTGTTTTAGTAAATAAAATCGAAACTCACAAAATGTTTCGTCGGTTTTCCTGTTAAAAAATATTCACATTGGAATGTAGCAAAATAAGATGGTCTTAAACCTTAATTAAGCAGGTAAACAGACATCAGGGACGTATCAACCATAAACCGTGCTCGCGGAATAAGTAAAACATTTGACTTTGATCATTTTTAATTTGAACGAATGAACAAAAAGATAATCAAATATTGAGCTTTCCAAATATTAACATACTTTATATACAAAAGTGCAAAATCAATTCATTTTTGTTGAAGAACTGATTTGAGTATTCAATCAACACATGAATAAGAATAAGATTCATTTTGTGCATGTAAAAGCCATTTTATCGCATTAGATAAGGTTATCAGTTGATTTATATCATTTGTTACGCTAACATATACGGATTCGAATGATACATTTTTATTTTAAAAACAATTATTAATCGAATTTAAAACTTATGACATCATTAAAATCACTGATTGAAATGTTCAGTTGAAACATAAGATGTTTAAAACATTTTTTTCTTTCGATTTAAATCGAATTGTATTGTCCAGTGAAGAAGAGTCGTCGAAAAATACGAAGTTCGTCTCTGAATGTGTGTGAAAATTCTATTGAAGAGCCAGCCCGTGCACACTTCAACACTGTCACTTTAACGGCCGGCAAAATAATGAGATAAGATTAGAAAATATGACACATATAAAATTGGTGTACTCTGTCATTTCACCATTAAAACAGTTTATTGTCATATTCCATCTCTGTTTATTCACCATTTGTGAAATCATGAAATGTTTGCTTTTATGATAATTGAGCGATATCGAAAAAGTTGTTCAGTCTGTGTGAACACACTTTTGAATAAATTGCGTTTCCTGTCATGCTAAATTACGGTTTTATTTTACTTTTTATTTTGCAGCCGCTTTGTCACATGCATTAATTGCTTGAGCAAATTAAAATCACAATTTGCACGTAATTCATGAATATGGATTTTTTTTAGGCAAATTCAAATCAGTCAGAAAAATCAACAAAATTGAAATCAGCGCTTTCTGATGTATATATAAATAGGCTTTGATGAAAATTTTCAAGGTTAATCAATGAAACAAAATTAACAAACAATGTAAAGCTCATTCGGAAAAAAAGAAAAGATTCACTACTTTGATTTTGTAATAAAATAAAATAATTTATTATTCTCGTTTATCTATTACAATTACAAACTATCACTACAACTAAATCGTTTCGTTTAAATTTTTTAAAAAATTCAACATTATACTATTCCTGGATTTATTCATTTTATCTTTTTGTTTGTTGAATTTTTTATGCAATCATTTAAACAATTTCGTTTCTCGCCCAATAAATTCATTTAAAATCTTTTTTTCTTTTTTCATATCGTTTGTTTTGTGTGCAAACAAGTTGTACTCATCATTTGCGACAAAAGAAGTGCGGTTTCTTCAATGGAATGCCGGTTGGCCCATCGGAAAATTCGCAAAAATTGAGACCAAGTTTTTTTAGCGGATGACATCTGCTCTTTGGATTTCCCCATCGACCGAAAAATCTCAGCCATTCAGGGCCAATCGAACGTCCGGTTCGTTCGCTATCAAATGAAATTTCCACCTGTTTCCATGTTGGCCATGCTGTCCCAAAACCATTTATATCGAATAATCGTGCAACACGCACAAATCGATGTTTACCAGGTGCCGTCCATAAACCGTGTGAACCTTGCGCGGAAAATAGCACCGGATGATTCTTTGATGTGACAACGGTACGAGGAAAATTTGGATGTTGTAAAATTCCCTTTCGGGTTTCCTGTCGCCGAAAATCAAATGTACCGGTCAAACGTTCATATTGATAATATGCACCGGCATCGTGCGCTGAAACATACATTTGATCTGGCTCTTTTCGTCCATTGAAATACAATGTCATATGTTCCCAGTCGCCAACATGACTGCCGAAATCTTTTTTTGTACCTAAGCAAACTCCAAATATTTGCGGTATGGGCAAATTTCCAAACGGACCCAAGCTTAGCGTGCATATCGATTTACCCTGTAAATAATAGAACAACGCTGTGAACATTCAATACATTGACGTACACGTTTAAACGAATTTAAATAATTTACTTGACTGTATGGATAAAACATCCAATATGTTACATGAAAACTGGGATATGAGCTGCTTTTTATCGGCAAATCGGTCGATTTGACCGTTTCATTTGAATCATAATTTTCATTTAGCTCAACGGTTTCATTCGATGATTCATTTGACATCGTTTGCATTGTACTTGATTCAGTTGCTTTTGTCACCTCATCCAATTGGGTAATTATGGTGGTGATGGTGGCAGTGCCGGTGGCATTCGTAATGGTACTGCTGGTTGATGTGCTGATGGTTGTGAGCGTCTCTTGCGATTCACGTTTGTGTCTTGTTGCATTTAATGTTACATTTTTATCATCGGGTGCACCGAAACGTTTTGATATGGACACCGGCCGCGGTACTGCCGATTGTATTTTGGTTTGAGTGAATGTATGTTTTAGTAATGAATTTGACACAGGTATATAGGTTGCTTGATGACGGCCAATTTTTGAATCAATTAGATTCGATTGAATATCTAAAAGGTGGATTAGCATAAAAACCAAAATTATTTCTATTGAACTTGATAAAAGTGAGCTTTTCAAGAAGAATTTTTTTTATATGGAATACATTTTATTATGGATAAATGCGAACTTTTTTCACAAGGAAATTACGTCAAAATCTTCAGAAACTCTTTCTAAAACGTTCGAACTTACCATCCGGTTCATTTTCTAAGGGCTGTGAATTGCATAGAGTTACCATCGCATAAATTGGAACATTTCCTGTACTTGGACTTTGGCCATAAATAAATGATGTTTGATCAGTCAATAAATCATCTGGAACAAAAAAATTTCGCGATAAAATTCATATTTAAATAAAAATTAGAAGAAAATAAATGTTCTTGACTTTCTGGAATTGACAATGTTTATACCACAACATTGTGATGAATGAAAAAATAAAACATTTGAAATGTCTTTTTTTCTTCAACGAACCTCATCACTTGAGTTTAAACGCAATGTTTTGCCGTCACATCAAAGTAATGTGCGTAAGACATGATGTCAATAAAACAGAATTTCATAATGATAGTATAAAACCGATAGTTTTAAGTGTGTTTCTGGTTCAGTTCAATAAATATAATATTTTATACGGTTATTATTTAATGATGATCATACCAATGTTATCGTTTGTAACAAGAAACCAATTGGAAGAGTGGTCGCCAATCGGCAGGTCAATGATGTAATTGAATAAATAATTGTCTTTGTACATTCGTTTGTGACGTCGTTCCCATGGATGTCGATCTTGTTGTGACAGTATAACATTGAGTTCGTTGGCTGTTTCATAATAATACAATTGTTCATCGTCACCATCGTCCGATTGAAATTGTTGATCGTATGCGATGTGGTTGTTGTTATGATTGTTGTTGTTGGCATGTGCGTTTTTCGATTTTTTAGCTTTTTCAGCGTGAACGTGCTGCAGAAAATCGGTCACGTCGCCTGGCATAAATTTTTCATTTGGTGCAAGCCAAACTAATGGTGCCCATTCGCGTACCAGCTTCTCAACTGATCAAAACAGAAAAGAGAGAGAGAAAAAAAACAAACAAACAAACCGATTTATAATAAAAATGAAGAAACTAAACATATAAAAACATATAATGACGATCAGTAATGTGCGAGCTACATTTTACAGGGGAGGTGATTTTTCAAAAACTAGAAATTCTCTTCGTTTTTTTTGCTCTTCACTTTTTTGGCGAAAATCCTTAGCAAATTGAAAGAATTTTTCTTGCGCCAAAAAACCCTAGCAAATTCGAATAATTTCGGCGGAAAATTGTTTTCTCGTCAATATCACAGGGGGGTAAACCCCCCTTCAATGACGATTAAGAATTTGTGCAGTATTTTGATTATATCATTTATCACAACTTTATAGTATGATTATTCATATGACGATAACTGATTCAATTTGAGACGCAAGAATTGCAAGTTCCAATGTAGCAAAAGTAGAGATTTCTTCTCAATTACATAATGTCAATTTTAGTATAAATAAGCGTGTGTTCAACATGAATTATGGGCCACGTAACAAAAACAATTCAACAGTGTCGAGTATAGGATTTTCTAATGGATTATTACATCGACACACATAAAATGGGTGCGTTTTTATATCAACAAAATATACAAATATTTACTGTGAACGCAATATTGCAATAATGTAGATTTAATCGTGGCAAATGCGAAACTAAAACATAATATCGCGATTTACGCATCGTCACAATGGATGTGAATTCCACGAACGGAGACTATGAGAAAGATTTGATTGTTTGTTATAGCCTATAATAATATGTACACCGGCATTGTTACTCCGTAGTCAACAAAACGATCACCTTTATTCAGATGTAAAACAAATGATCAGGTGTGCACAAACAATAAACAACACGGCTAAGATGGCACACGCCAACGAAAATCACCTTGAATGCACATTTCAAAATTCATCAATTATTCCGTCATATGGATGATAATATAAATGATGGATTTGGTGAGTCTGTAGTAATGCATAAATATCGCATTTGTTGGATGATTATTATATTTTATTTTATTTGCCGTTGAAATATTTGTGATAATTAAATCGATGGTGTAATGGTCTATTTCATCGTCACCAAAATATATTCAACAAAAGAATGAATAAAGTCGACCCCGACGTACAAATCACCTCCAAAAGTCATCACTGACTCACTCACACACACACACAGGTATTCAAAATTATATTTAAGAAAAGAAAACATTTCGCGTAATTGACGAGATTATATAATCGAGATATTTGTGCGTTTCGTTAAACATCGACAATATATGTCTGGCTTTAGTTGGCCATAGAGTACACACACAGACATAGAGACTGAAAAAAGATCACGGTTGCAATCAAATGACATAATATTTTTGACATACAAAGGGAAACAAAATAAACATCACATCGGTCATTTAGTTTATGACATTCAAAATGTTCATGATTCGGCAATTTTCATATGCTCGTGAATATGAACCAATCGTGTACGGATTAAGAAAAGAAGAAGACAACCATTGAACAGAGCCTACTGATTAAACACAGCCAGTTATATATACAATAATCAAATTGAGACACATAGACAAGCTTCGTCCAATTTGAATAATTTGCCAAATTCTTGGGAAATTTGATTGAAATGTTTTTTTTTTGTTTACAGTAAAATTCAATCCATCAACGATAATTATCGCTGAACCGTTTTGTTTTTCTCCTGCATAATTGGTGCTGTTGATACAAGTGAAGTGCATCTACCTGAAGTGATGATCAATGCAAATCTTTTCGATGTGTGTTCGCAACGCACGAAATTAAGAAAGAGAATGCAAAAAGTATGCGGAGAAAAATGTACCAGGCATATATATATATGTCTGTTATTCAAGCGATTTTTGTTTATTTTGCGGTTTTTGTTTTCGTTATTTTCATTGAGATGTGCAAAAGCATGAAAGAAAACCAAAACCTTGAAGCATCTCATGCGAATAATATGTGTAAAAACATTTGTTATTTCATATAATTTTTTGACGATTTTACTATACTTTTTTGGCTCGCTGAAAAATTCGAAGCATTGAAACGATTTCATGCAAACGCCTTATTTTTGTTATTGATGCGCTGCCGGTAAAATGCATTATTTTCTAACCGTATTCGATTCGATGAATTCGGCGGGGATAAAAATTTGCAATTTTTGCCATCGAAATGAAACAAACAAAAAATAGTGTTGAAAATCCTTTTGTCATACATGGTGCATCACGTGGAAATTTGCCGTGAAAGCACTTTATTTTTTCATAATAATTTTCGTACACAATCACCACGCGCTTCCTTTTACACAAAATTTCGTTTCGTGGAACCCATTTTATGTGATATTTTTTCTCTTCATCTTTCTAAAGTAAACCATTGCGCTCTCACTTTTGACATAATGACGGTTGCGGTTATTTAAATGTTAACGCTCTACTTAAAACAATGTTGCAATCGTGCGATGTTTTTTTTTTTCGAAGAAAGAAAAAATGTTGCAGTTTATTATTATTTTTTATTTCACTGAAATGCACCGGCATATCGATAAATCCAATTTTTTTTCTATTGTTATTGTTTCCGCTTCCATTCTAATCTCGTTATGCCAGCCGATCATTGCCTTTAAAGCTGTTGCCAGTTTCTTTCTTGTACGAAAGTGGGAAATAAAAATTACCTGAAAAGAACGCAATAAATTCTTGAGATTGGCTTTTTGTTATTATTATTATTATTAATTTTTCGTTCAACATAGATATTCTCTTTCTGGGTATAAACTTTTGATCAAGTGAACAAGCCATTTGATTAATTAACACTTTAATTGAGAACGCGCACAAATTGAATTACACGATTAAAAAAAAACAGAACGAAAGAAGCACATGAAATAAGAAATTCAATGTTACCTTCATGTTGCTCCGGAAATAATTTGGTATGATCGGTGATTTCTGCAAACGCGTATTCAGCTAATGAGAACCAACAAGTTAAAACAACAAAAACGGCTACATGAATTGGAAATGCTTGTCTGAATGCCAATTTTATGGGGTCACTCATATCGCCATTGGATAAATGTGTGTCGTTGGTAATTTACTTGCCGTTTTTTGTTTGGATATTAAATTGTGAATAGGCTCGAATTGAATCTTCTGGATGCGATGCGCTCCGACTAATCTCCGGATAATTCTCTTCGGCAAGGATGGAGATCAAAATTCGTATGATTGTTTCAAATTGATTTTTATTTTACAGAGTCACGCATAATCAAAGCGAAAAGCTTTGAGAGAAACAAATTATGCATAAATTTCTTTCTCACAAATTTTACGTGCACTTTTGATTAATGCAATATGAAAAATTCATCCGACTTAAAACGATTTGCGATGCTGAATGCTTTGCGTATACAAAAGAAAACAAATCAGTTGGCGCCTGTTTTAAATCTACATCTATTTCTTTTTTGTTTTTATTTTTACACCAAACGGAAAAAATCATACGATTGCAAATTTTCACCGTTCCATGAGTGACAACTCACAAATATTTTTTTTTTTCGTATTTTTGTTTGTTTATCGTCGCACTTCTTTGGAATTAGTTTCTATACACGTCTTAGATATTTTTTTGTTTCAACTGGTTTCAGCCATTCGTCATGTGTAATATTGAATGAAATTGATATGTTGTGTGGATTAGTGTCTTTTGATAATTGTAAAGCATAAATTGATTCTCGATTGACATTCACTGGCTCTATAACTTCATTTATACACAATTGTACCGAGTCCAAATAAATTGTTGTCATGTGCTTGATTCGTTTGCATTGCACTTTCTAAGAGGTTTTTGTTTCTTTGCAACTACAAGCGCGTGCGATTCGGTGGTAGAAATCCGTTTAAAGCCGATAGCACATTTTCGATTCGTTCAAACACCACACTTTGGCTTGTTTTGAAATTTGTAGGATATTTATGTAGTTTGTGGCATTAAAAAATTCGCTCTAGATACGAGATGAGCACTCAAATTGGCACGCAACCGATCGTCTATCACACAATGCTTCCCGTCTTTGTCTTTGATGCCATGTAATGTTATCGGTGCTTGTTCATGCTAGACTGTCATCGTCTTAGCAACGCGCGTTTCAGGTATATACTGACGCACTCATACTGATAATTTCTCCCGATGGCCCCCAATGTGTTTCATTTCAGCCTTCAGCCACTCTTCATTCACCACAGAGCACCATTATCGTCGCTATGGTAGTATTTTTCTTTTTGTTATCTCTATTTTTCTTCTTCTTCTTCTCTCAATCAATATTTCTATGCAGATTTCGAAGCTTTCGGTGTTTGTGGAGAGGTACACAAAGTCGGCGTGCGCTCTCGTTCACATACACACAATTTATATGCTGCCGTGTGTTTGGCACAAACTAGTGATCTGGTGAGAGATGCTTACCATCAAACTATGTTTACGCATGACTTGTTATTATTATCACTGCTTTTTTTTCTGCTGCTGCTGTTGTTATGATTTTTTTTTTGCTTTTGCGTTTAATGTGAAATTTTCATGTACTCTCTTTTTATTTCGTAGGTCTTCTTCACAACGGGTCAATAGATTTCACTTTTTCGTTACTTCTTTCTAAGTTTAATGTCGCGTGCGCACACGCACATTTACTCGTACTGGCACCTTAGACGGCAACTTTTGTACGTGCTGATTTTCGGATTTTCTACCGTATGTAATCGAAGAAGAAGAAGAAGAAAAAAACAAAAGTGTCGCACACACACATAAAGTTCAAATCTTCATTGATCATCTGGATAATTTACCGTTGTGCGGTCACATTGGCTGAAAACGTAAAACAGAATGAAAAAAAATTACTGAATAGAAAAAAAAGTTAGTAAAATCTAAATCACGCCGTAGCGTTAGCTACTCTCCCATTATAAATGGAATAAAATGCTTATGCTTTCATTCTTCTTTTCTCTATTCTACCCATTTCCAATGGGTTAATTGCGGCATAGCTAATTTTTTTTTCTTTTTTCTGTTCGATTCATTATATTTATTGTGTATGTGACAATATTCGCTACAACCATGCTCAAATACCTCAATACACACGATTGATGCTTCTTCTTCTTCTTCATTCGCTTTCTCACTCAATATGACAACGATAAATACCACATAAACTCAGTGGATTCTTTCGTAAACATATTCGAATTGAAATATTAAAATTGATCAAAACAACCATTAAGAAAAAACCGGTAAATTGAATTGCCAAATGATGACAAAACAAAAGCGGCGAAATAAAAACAATGGTGAAAGATTTAATGTTTATTTTCTGTGAGATATACACAAAGTGAAAATATATATATATTTTTAAAAACCTATTGTGTTGTGAATGTTATCGTGATCCATCCGAATCGTACGATCGGGAAATAGAACGGATTCTGTTCAGTGAAACAAACGAATAAAATGGTTTCTTTTTTTCCCGTATTTTTTGAAGAAAATAAAATAGAAAATATATTGTTTGCAACCGTATTTTTCCACTCGATCAACGCAAAAATCTCTGTCTTGATCTTAAACTGTCTTGATCAACTGCTGTTCAATCACTAATCGCATCGCATCAACATTCTTCTTTCTCTTTTTGATCATCTCGTTCTCTGCGGAGAGAACAATTTTTATGTTGTTCGTATTGTACGGCGGTTGTTGTTGTTGTTGTCTTGAATGTGAATCTATATCACATGTGCATATTTACCATCTTCGCATTTTGCACGCATTCAATGATGATAAGCTCTCTTTCTCCCCCTCTCGTGATGGCAAAAATCACAATATGCATAGATGACTGATCTTCTGATGAGTAAATAATTCTGTCATGATTTTCAAATTATGTACGCTCAATTTAATATCGTTTTTCTGTTAAATGTTCTTTGCATTAAGATTTCATGCGAAGTTTTCGTATTTAAATTCAGACAAAGACACGAAAATTGAGCAAGCTTTTTTTTAACAAATTTTCGCCTCAATTCCATCAGAATCCATAAAATGATATGGTGATGAAGACAAAATGTGAGAAAGCGATCAAAACACATTCCATTGTACCAAATCAAGAGAGAAAAAAACTATCACCACGTACCCGATAATTGACGCAAATTAAACGTCGAAAATTGAAATAAAATCATGTCTAAATGGGAACGTAAAAATTTCACAAGATAATTCACAAAATTTTCTGGCACAATCTTCACTAGTATTGAACTCATTCAGCTTATGAAGTAAAATGAATTTTCCATTTAATCTTACGAAGAAATCAAATTGAAAAGAGAAGCAAAAAAAAACGAAAAGTAACACGCCACAACAACACAAAATGATTCCACAGACACACACACTGTGAAGAAGCACGTGCAATTGGCCAAAAGTACATATGTATATATAACATATATCTACCTGAGGTGTACGAACGAAAAACATGCACTAAAGTAACCAATTCCAATGTTCAAACTTTTCGAGTAGCCAAAGAAAAGCGATCATGAACACTTAGAATAATGTGTGTATACCTGAACTGTTTTTAATCGACTCTTAAGTGGTAAACAAAGAAAATACTCACGCGAAAGACACTGACAGAGCGAACGAAGCGCGTGCACCAGCGCATGCAGAGCAAGAGACAAAACGGCCAATTTCTCATACATTTTTGCGTTTTGTTTCTTTTTTTTATTATTCATTATTTTTATGGTGTATAACATATCGTATCGCCCAAACGATTGGTGTATTGTCTTCATTTCTCTTTTGCGCTTGCTACGGATACCATTGACACAACAGCCAGCCAGTAGCCGACAACATGATTATCATTGGCCATAGCATAGAGTGAGAACCGAGTGTGTGTGGCTGAAATTGAAACAACTTTATTTTTCGTTTTGTATTGAGTCAAGTGTGCGCTTCATGAATTCGAAATGAACAACACTGAAGAACGGGAAAAAAACCGAATACATTTTCCAAAACACTTTCAAGCAGACAAATAGAGAGAAAGATCAATGGAATGAAAACATCGATCTTGTCTGCATGAAAACAGACACAAGACTCACAACCCACTTTATGTAACGGTAAAAATGGGTCAATGATAAAAATGAATGTCCAAAAGACATATATTCCGATATTCTAAATTGAGTTAGTATCCGTTATATGTTCAAAGGTTAGTTTTCGTGTGAATCGGCCAGTCAAAAAATGAGCTACACAATCAATTTTTCCCGGTTTCTATCGATTTTCAGTTCAATTTTCTATATCTCACTATTTGGTACACACCATCTGATCATATGGTTTATAGGCCATTGATCATTACATTGATAATGGAATGCATGCAAATTTGACTCGGTTCACTTTTCTACTCACATATTGTATGTGATGGAATAGAAACCATGTGCTTGCGCATTTTATCCAATTATTTACTACATAAAGTGAAAAAGATTTGTTCCGTATGCGCAGCACTCATTTGCCTCACACCCATCTCGTTATAATAATTTTCACATATAATTAACGATAATTAAATGAATTAATCGGATGAGAGAAAGAATTTCATGTCATCTTTTTGAAAATTGCCATTGCAATCGCACAGATGAAGAGAAAATGTTTTCTACATTTATTTAGCACGTTCCAATACAAATTCCGTTTGAAATCGTTCCATTTCTACTTATTAACATCTGGCCTTCGTTCAGAAACAGACAAACTTTTCGAACGAAGGTGCAATGTCATAAAGTGCCGTTAAAGAATTAGAGAGAAAAAGAGATCAATGACATTTTGGGTACGAAATATTTGTGTTTTTTTTCCCTCGATGTGCCCGCCAACGATAAAATATTTATTTGAAATCAAAACATTTATTGAATGGCATGCGGATTGTGAACGAAACACGCCACCTCAAACCGGTTATGCCACATGTGAGAAAAGCAAACACACGCAAGCAACTATGTCATATATAATTTCGCCCTACCAGTAATGAAATTGAAATCGATCAGGCGATGAATCGCTTTGACTCTGGTTGTTTTTCTTTTTGGTTCATTTCTTTCTTGTTCACCGTTTTCAATTTTGTTGCTTTTTTTTTTTGACAAGAGAAAGGTCAGGTTCATGATTGTTGTTACTTCCATTTGCATGTGTACTAATACATGTTGATCGAAATTCGATTGGTAATCGACCGTAACTGACGTTTGACATTTTTATTGATAAATTTCGATCCTTTTTTTTATTATAAATTTTGCATGATTTGTTAGACGATCATGATTGATATTCGTATCTTTTCAGGAGGAACATTGATTCAAAGTGAAAGGTTCGAATTTCAAAAAAAAAAGAAACATAAAATGCAACGGAAAACAATTACACGCAAAATCATATGAACCGTATCGAAATGACTTTGTCATCGAAATGCCTATCACCGATCATTATCCTGTGTCATGACAGTAACAACACTCATGGCTGAGTGACATATTATCATAATTGCATTTAACGCAAACATAATTTTATGTTTCAGAAATACTACAATACAATATACAGTCTGAATGCAATTTTATATAATATAAACTGCACACACACATATATATTTATACATACATATAAAAATGTCATTTTGTCATGTGCCAATTCGAATGTATTTGATAAATGCGTTACTGCTCTGCATTTATTTGTTGTGTTATAAATCGCTTTCCCTTTGCGCGCAAGAAGACCATTACATTCGATAGCGATGCACATACTCAACATAAAAATTTACCAACAATCCAAGTCATAAACTAGTCTCATATCGTTATGCGCGTAGTTAAATTTGTTTGTTTCTTTTGTCAGTTCATTTGGTTTCATCTAACGACATAAATTTCGAACAATAGACTACAGTATAACAATGCGTATTCATTGTATTGTTATCAATGGAAAATCATATAAGTTGTAATCATGCAAATTGCTTATAGAGACAATTTAAAATGGCCAACGTGGAATGGCACATTTGCAATTGCATTACATAAAATCATCAATAATTTTATGGTTTCATTTTTTCTCTTTCTCTTCATTCATTCTATTTGGTATTTTGAAAGAATTTTTCATTCTGATGGCATCATAAAACATTATGCAATCTCTCTTGTACATCTTGTATTTTTAATGTGCTCCATATTGAAATTTATGCGGCAGAAATTGTTTCTTTCTCCACTCAAAAACTTGACCATAAAAATACAAACAATAAAATGCGTTCTCAATTAAAACACACTATTTCTTTACGATCTTGTTTCAATTAAAATGCGGTTTTTATATTTGTTCCTCATTGCCTCATGTGGATTCATTTCGATATAGTCTCAACAACACACTTTTTACTGTTTGCAGTATGTTGAGTCCTCAAGCAATTTAAAAATTTAAAACGAAATAAATCTAATCAAATCCTATCAAAGTAACATATACACGCTTTGAACTTGTTAACCAAATAAAAGCAGTCAATTCATTTTTTTATTCGCCCAAATGTATGCAAACGCATGAAATGCATTATTTGTTATTTTGAATTTAATCATTAATTTAGTCATTTGTTTGGTAAAAGTACCCAATTCGAAATAGCCCATCTGACCAAAGAGACTGAACAGAGCATTACAAATTCTTTGCTGTCACATATTTTAGATTTGAATAATTTAGATAAAAAAAAACTGTGTCACACTAAAATATAGTCGGATTCTCCGTTTCTGAAGCTTATCAATTGAAAACTATTCATTTTAATGATTATTTTTAATGATAGTGTTTTCATTTTAAAGATTCAGTTTTATCAGCCTTATTTTCTTTTTTCAATTCTGTGAAAAATGCAATAAATGTGTAACATATTTCCCATAATCAATTTGATGAATTTCTTTGAATGTGGTGTTGTCATTATTTTTTCTACCTGTTGATTGCTTTTTTTTTTAATTTATTAATGTTTCTAATCGGTCATTGCAAATACAACTAGGTATATGGAAATGAACGATTTTAACGACTGTTGAAAATGCACATAAAATCGATTACATCGAATATCGGTTGTAAAGTGTGCAATTACATCATTTTGTTGATGGCCGTTGTTACTTTTTTATTTTCTTTTTTTTTATTTGTAAAGCTTTTAAATAAATCAGCTAGAAGATTCTTGGTTATTTAATCATTGCATTTTCGATTTCTGTGTACGTGTCCTATTCAAATCAATTGTGTTGCAATCTAGGGGACGGAAACCAATAACTAGTTTTTTATAGTCCAAGTAAAAACCAGAAAAATTTGCAAGAAAATTTCGATTCGTCATTTTTATATTGTTTCATGATTTGGTAACTAAATCAATTTTACAACTCGGCTATTGAAAGAAGCACACTGTTGTGTTAAAAAAATTGGAATTAAGAATATGAAAATCTAGAATATTCGCACTTTCATAGAGAAATATTAGCATTATTAGATTATTCAAACAATAAAACTAGTAAATAGGCTATAAACTAAAAAAATAGCATTGATGCACATCCCCTAGGTCGCACTATTTAAATGAAATCATAAAAATCGAATAAAGTAAAAGACAATAATCTGGTTCTTTTATGACAATTGCATTTTCGAGAAAAAAAAGAAGACGCAAAATCGAGTGAGAGAAAGAGAAAACAAATAAATTGCATTTTGTTGTGAGTATCAAATTGTGCAATCCAAATGGTCATTGTACGAGAATGTTAGAATCATTGAATTGTGAGCGCGCACAAAACCAATTACGTCAACGTTAGAATAAATCTGGCATTTGGTCTCAAATTCGTACCGTTTTTCCCCCATGTCTTTTGAAATGGGAGCTACTGCGTGAATTCTATACGCGATATTCTTTTTATAGCCAATAATAATAAAAAAAGTATGTAGAAGCAAAAAAATTGACAATTTGAATAATCATTTAATTGATTGAAAAGTTGTTGGAAACCAATATTTCAGAATGAATGTGCTCAATATGTTTGTGTTCTCTGCACACAAAACGGTTAAAAAAATATGACTGAATTAAATACGAAGAGAGATCGAAAAAATGAGCTGCAATTCAAAATAAAAACAAATGAATTTTTCATTTGAATTTATTGATTGTACAATTTTATCTTTTGATATATTTGAATAGGTTAATGGTTATTTTGTGCACATACACACGATTTAGCCTGAATTTGTTGACATAGTCATATGCTCTGGTGTGATCTTGAGACAGTCAGTGCTAAGCACAACAAAAAAGACTCTTATAAATTGGTCGCGCACTTGAATTTTAGTTCGCATTCGCATATCTAGTTACTATCCAAATCGAATATTTAAAAAAAAAATCATACACATAAATTGTTTTTTTTTTTGCGCGTTCGCACTAGCTTCATGATCCAAGTCACTCTAGCTGCACGCTCTCGCTTGTGGCTCAAAAATCAACAAACTCTCTTCACTCATACACCGAGTGGTATATCGGAGTGTCTTTTGCATTCGTTGTGCTATTTAGGCTGCGATCGGTTTGAATTCATAATATACACGTATTCGGCATTATATGTACGATACATATAAATCTCTTGCACAGTTTCTTTCGGCATTCAAGTGGTTCGCTTCTTTTATTGTGTGTTGTTGTGTTTTCTCTCTCGCTCTCTCTTTCTTCATTTTCATTCCATTCGGTCGGTCGATCATTCGGCTTGAAGATTACTGTGTAAGTGTGCTGTTTTCCTCTTCTTCGGACGTTATTGTTTGTCGTGTTGCTGTCGTTGTGGTCGTCATTGTTGCCATCGTAGATCGCCATCGCCGCCGCCACTGCTGTGTGTACTGTGTACTGTGCTCTCTGCTGTTGGCTCGTTGCCTCAAAGATCCGAATGTATATTAATACTATTAAAAGAAAGTAGTGATAGCCACTGTCTCAGTATCAAATTGGCCCTTGTAAACATCGAACGGAGAACAAACGTTCCTCTAAAATTTCAATTTTGTGCTACAAACAAAAATAAACCGTTTTCTCAATCAACTTTAATAGTTATAAATTCGGGAAAACCCAAAAAAAAAACAACGACCGATATAAACATTATTTTTTCAACCCATTTTTCGTCTACATTTCTGTTCTCTTATATACCATTTTCGGTTTTCCAATCGAAAAACACAGACCAAACCTTGTGTGAAACGAACTTGAAAAAAATATGTGTCAGTGATTTGATGTAAAAGAAAAATTCATTCATTCAAAAAAGAGTTTATCTTTCACATTTCAAAGTTTAAAATCGAATTTAACGTGCTAAGCCAAGTGGATTTTCATTTTTGAGTTGTGAATTTTTTCTCCATTGAGAAAAAAGAGACAAATTAATGAACACACACGTTCGATGACGGCTGAATTCGATTCGATAACATAAAAGAAACTTAAATTTGTTTTTTTTTTCCTTCTATAAAACACATATTCAAATTAAGCGGTAAGTAAACGATTTAAATTTTTCTTTTTTTTTGATTACTCGATCAAACGGTTACTCAATAGGTTTTCGCTAATTTCCGTTTAAAAAATAAAGGAAAAAAAACGAAAAACAAAACGAACAGAGAGTATCACCAATCAAAGCGAAAATACCGAATTCCTTTTGGATTATGTGCAAAGTTATGATGTATATATGTGTTTATTTTGTGAAATTGAATCGATTGGGAAAGTAACATTCCAATCTACTTGAAGAGAGAGAGAGAGAGAGAGAGAGAGAGAGAAAACGCAAATCGAACGAGAAATATATACTTATAAAATGAAATATAAAAACAAACATGCAAAGAAACAAAAGCAGATAAAAAAAAATGAAATAAGCTCATGCGCGCCCGTTGAAAAGTGGCTCAAAGAATGAGCGCGCATGCTCACGCTGCTTCCATTTTCGCTTAAATATATACATATATTTAATTTCGCGAATTGCATTTCATTTTAAAATTTAAGATACGTGTTGAACATCAATGAGAGTTTATCGCAAATAAATTTATCACTTGTTCGCCGTGAACATTTATGTTGGACACTTTAATTCTCTCAAATTCTAATTTCAAGTGAGAATTTCGGTTTCTTTTTTGAAGTATTTTACCCTTTGATGAGATTTCAATTTCTCCCTTTTTTATTCGCAATTCGAAATGAGACAAACGACACAGAAAGCAACAAAATTCGTATTTAACACGCACATATATGTGTCAACATCAGAGTATTTTTCTTGCCAAACAAACAACTAAATAACGCACTCGGACACATACGCAGGCCAAAACACACAACTTTCTTTTCCAAAATTTATGCGCATAACCAAAGATTTCTTGAGATCAAAACACAAGTGGATCGTAGGTTGAGCACGTGTCCATTTTTGGGTGTTTTTATTTGGGAATGACCCTTAAAATGAATCATAAAACTAAACTTTCTGAAATGTCGGTCGAAAAAATGCGATCCCAATGCAACAAATTGAAAAAAGTTCACCATGCCATCCAATGTGTACCTGCGTGTGTGTAATATTGACACATTGGAAAATGTGCATTGAACAAAGTGATGAAGAAGAAAAAAAAAACAATTATTTTCACTTTTTTCTCTGTCTCTTCCAAACTTATTGCATTGCGTGCAGTGTGCGTTTGTGTGTATGTCGAAAATGATTTCACAGAAACTTTAATTACATTGAATTTGTGTTCAAATAGCGAGAAAACTAAAAAGAGACACCAAGAGAAATAAATCTAATAGTGAAAATATTGTCAAACAATATATAAGACATATATGACACAGTGGAGAGAAATTCTATTTGCGTTGCATATGTAAATAAAATATCATGTGCGCAACATGTCAATTGATACTAGAATTGAATTGTTGGTATTGAGACATACGGCGCCGAGCTTTGAAAGCAATATGCAGAAAGAAAGGTGGAAGAAGCAACAAGATGAGAAGAAAAGGAAGTGAATTTGATTTTTGCCCATTCATGATGATGATGATGTAAGGTATGATAATAAATGAGCTAATGTACTATTTTGCATAGGAAAATTGACAAACGCTCACAAAAATTCAAATGAATTTATCATATGCGATATGAGAGTAACATGTTTTATTTATGGGTAGCAATCGATCGGATAAAAAAAATTGTATATATATATATGGAAAGCCTTTTGTGTCACTAAGCGTGCCCGCGCCCGCCTGTGCGTCTTAACAAGAGAGTGGAATTTTGAGAGTGCAGAGAAGAAAGATCATTAAAAAAAATATTTTTTCGGAACTGATTTCACTTCAAATGACAACGTCGTAACCAATGAATTTTTATTGATTTGTTGCTGCTGTTGGTTGTTGTTGGAAGGCGCATGAACCATATTATGTGATCAATGAATTATGTAGGTATTATGTTATGATGGCATCAAAAATAAGCAAATGAATTTTGTGATTTTGACACATACAAAACTGCGCACACACTTGGTGTATATATTGTTGTTATATGGGACGACAAATAAACGTAAATCTTGGCAAACTATTTTATTTAAATTTTAACCGATTTCGTGGATTTTTACTTTTTTATGGATGCTTTTACCGACACTCGATGTGTGTTCGCATTTTTTTTTTTTCATTTTTTTTTTAATATGAAATGTATTCTGTGGAGATATGTGTGAACGTTTTCTTGTGTATGCCATGGAAAAAACTGAATAAATCTTGACGTGTGTGCACATGTATGATTTTGTGCGCACATAAATGTTATGCGATCCTCAGGTGTTTGGCATTCAATTTTCTCTTTGTTGTTTAAATTCATCGATTACATAATTCAATGTTAGTTTTTTTTTTCGTTGGTTCGTTCGTTTATTTTCTTTCTTTCACCGCGTTTTTGCTGCTCTTTTCGACATTGTAATTTTTTTTCTCTTTCTCATCTGTCATCTTTAATGATTTTGCTTATTCATTTCAATCAATCAAACTGAGAAAAGCCGCCCTTTTGACTGTTTTTCTGATATCGATAATCATGATAGGGTTTATAGATAATTATGATACGATGTCTGGGCGATTTTTTTTGCAAATAACGTTTTTTTTTTTTTTAAATAAGTATACATATTAGTCTGTCGATTGATTGATCAATAAAAATCAAGTGAATATCGATGGTGATAAAACTTTGTGATGTCTCTTGAAACTGTTCAAATATCTGCTATTTTTTGGTCGTTTTTTTCACTTTCAAATGATAAAATCATTTCAGAATTAGATTGTATGACCCCCAAATTCTTCGAGGAGACTGAAACTAAGTGGGTTTTTTTCGCTATACAACTGACCGTTACACAGGAAAATAAAGTTATAAATATGATGACTAAATGGGTCATTCATTGCGCATTTGTTCTCTTTATCTGTGGCAAAAAAAGAGCTAACACCACATATAGAGAACGAGATGTATTATTATTTCGAAAGAACAAAAAACATGTATTAATGGCTCAATTACAGTATCTTAGTACAATTTAAAGACCATGTTTGATGATTCAGCATAGCGGGATCGTTTGCAAAATGAAATTTAAAGAAATGAAGAAAAAACAATATGAATTGGTTGCAAAAGCAAAAACAACAAAAAAATAAGTAGCGGCAGAAAAAAAGGGCCAACAACACAAGAAGCGAAGCAATATCAAAAGAAGAAGTAGCATGGTTTTTGGTTGGTTAGTCAACCCAATCATCGACCAATTTGATCTGTAGCATGCAAACATGCCAACTCACAAACAAATTCAGGCACGCACATACAAAAACACTCAATCCCATCATCCAGATCTCACAGTAGTTTTGTCATGAACTTCAATGTTAATCAAAAAAAAGTTTGAAAAACACACATGCACAAAAAAAGAATGCTTCGATGCCATGTATCTACTAATCTCGATCGTTAAATCGAACGAACGGAGCTGATCGTGCCTTGTCCAAAGTCCATTAGTTCAGTCATCAACTTTCGATAAAAAAATGTTCCACGGACCCCATGTACGATACAATTACGATAATAAATTCAATGTTCAAAAGCGCATTCAAAGGTGAAAATGCGCATCAATCCAGTGCTCATGATATTTCTATGTCTATTTGTTCGATCACATGCATATGCGGTGCATATAAAGCAGAGACAATACATCTATATATAAAATCAAACCCAAGAATCAAGTGATTAAAGCATAAAATAAAATATAATCAACGGTACACCGAATCCAATATCAATAGTCTTGTGTCTATATTCTTTGGTTTTTCTTTAATGTTATATGTGCTTTAGTATGCAATGCACAGAATAGCATTTCGATTTTTTTGTTCTCTGCTTCGTTAACATCTCGCTCTCCGTGTGTGTGTGTATCTCTATCGTTGTATTTGTGTGCGTGCAAGCCTTGTTATGATTGTTCATTTACAGTTCATTTCTCTGAGCAAATGCCACGAAAACACTTCCAAATGGCTTGGCATACGTATATAGGTGCTTTATTTCTTCTTTTATTTGAAACATTTGATTCTTGAAATGTAGAAAATGTTGTTTTGTCGCCGGTTTCCATTGGCTTTGGCGCGGCATAGATTAACAGATGTGTTTGGTTGGTGAGCGAGCGAGCGCCCGCGCGAGTCTTCTATATACGATCGTTCGATTCATATGACGATTTTGAGTGTAAGTGTGATGATGAACTCGTTTGTGAGTGAAATGGCTTTGGCATTGTTTCGATTACCACTACTACCGTTATTAGTGCGGTTTTTTTTATAACTCATCATCCGTTCGTTGCTGTTGTTGCTGTTGTTGCTGCTGTTTGGCGAACACACACCGTTCGATTCTGATTGGTCTTTGTCTTTGTCTCGTTTACAACTGGTTGACCCATTTTCAATTGTGCGGTTGCTACAACAACAACAGCAACAACAAAATACCTGTTGAAACAGAAAATCGTGAACGCGCGATTGCGCTCACTTACAAAATACATGTATTTACTTGTATATCTGTCTGAAATCTTTTGAAACTGTTGCTCTTTTCATTGTATCATGCATATATTTTGACCCATTCACACGATTTGATTCAGGTTCTCACAATCAGAAGACACATAACGTTTTATGTATATTTTTGTTTCTGGTTTCTGGGTGTCTAAAAAAAGAAAATCGGCAATGATCCAAAAATTCTGGAGTAAAGCAATTACATGCAGGCGTGTGAATCAATTTGCTTGCAGTGTGGCGCAAGAGAACATTTCGGTTTCTCTTTTGTTCGGGTGCAAAATTTGACAATAAACATTTTGCATCGTCATCGTTTTTATTCGCTATCTGTTTGGTATGCATTTGTATACAATTGCTCACTTGAATTCGACGCCATCGACTCACACTTTACTTTCGCTTCTTGTTTGCTCTTCAATTTTCTTTCTTTTTTTGCTTTGGCACAGGGAATTTCTTTACGTATTGGCACCTCTGCACACAGGTATCTGCTTTTCGACTTGAAATGTACATCGATTTCGAAAAATTGAAGCGAAAAAGAAGGTGTGT